CTGAGATTCACTGCTGTGGGTGGTTTTTTTGCAGTATAGATGTATCCTATGAGTCTACAAGTGCAGGATATCCTTCAAATAGCTTCTCAAATGTGATGTTTTCATGCCTAACTAAGAGGTAGCAGTCTCTGGATTCTTATCTAGTTTCTTCTTTTATACTCCAGCATTGATTTGAGTCACTCAAAGGTTTTATTGTATATTAATTTTCTAATTTTTAATGTAGCATGCTTTATTTTTAATGCACTTTTGGTGTTGGGAGTGAACTAGGGAAGCTCTATAAAGTACACTGCCTGCTGCTTGTTCTAACATGCCAGAAGATTCAATTTCTGTGTGTAATCCAACCCAGTCTCCCAACTACTGCCACGTTTTCATCTATCTGTAAACAGCATGACTGTTGGTATCAGGGGAAGACGACCAAATTAATCCCAGATGGGGACCTATTTCAGCCAGTGTCAGACTTTCCAGTTAATTTAAGGTAGCAGGTCAGTAATTTGGGTGTGTGTGTTTGTTTTCTCTTAAAATCCTTTCATTGCTAGAGTGTTAACTTTTACTGAATGTCATGCTGTTTAACAAAATGATACCAAATATGATATAACAATGGTGCGGGGGTTGGGAACCTCATTATTATATTTTGTTGCCCTTGTTACTATAGCACCAGTGGCACCATCTCAAGGCTGCGATGGCACTTTCATCTTAAATATTCAGGGTATTTTCTCTGAGCTAAAAAGTAGGAAACCAGGAACAATGTTTCTACCCAAATAAAAAAAGGAAAAAAAGTGTAGCTATTCTCTCTACAAATTATGAATATTTCAGCAGGATTGTACCGGGCGCAAGGGAGCCACAAAATATTAGCCACTGTTTTGGATTCACTACATCTGTACCCAAGGGGCAAAGCCAAGCCACCATATGTTGTGATCCTTTCATATCTCAGAAGGGGATGGCAAGTCATTGGTTTGATGCAATACTCCCAAGGTGTACCAGGGGCTATAAGAAATAGTAATGCTGATTCAGTAGGTAGCAGTCTTTCCTTTGTTTCATTACTGAACAAAAATAATAGAATGGAAGTAGGGGACACAGTGTTGCTAAAACTGCTGCCATCTTGATATTTTTTGACCATTTGTCACTAAAAAGCCCAAGTGACTTGGCTAAATTCCAACTTGTGTAATTACATTGCACCAACCAAAGCTCTCACTGCAGTTTCAAGTGGATATATTCTTCACTTCCTGTCTTTCATTATTGCGTGGAGTTACTTTGCACTATAAACAATTTTTACAGTTGGGAGTTTCGTTTCTTGAGTGTGGGAATTGTGAAGTCTTAATTCTTATGCTGGAAGGAATCAGAAAAACATTGTACTATCCCATCAAGTTCTCCAGAGATGGAGAGTCCTCCCTGAAGTTTGCCACTATTGTCTTATATCTCCAGGTAGTGGATTGCTCTGAAGACAGTTGAAGCCCACCTCCAGGCCAGAGAGTGATTTTTTTCAGTTTATGTTAATCCCCTGCAAATGTAATGCTTGTGCAGAAATAGCTGAGTATTACTACAGTATAATTGCTTTATAGTGAGTAACTGACACATTGCTTTCCCCCACTCTGCATCATTCCCTTTTATTCCATTGATTTATATTTTTTTTAAAAAATCGCATTTATATGAAAATAGGTCTATTTTGCTGTAGTAGGAATTCAACAAGTGAATTCTTTCCTGATCAGAGACCAGCATATTGCCCTAGGAAGATGTTTTGCTGTGTAATCTCCATGGTTTGTGTCCTTGTACCTTTTTTCCCCCTTTAAAACCAAGTTCTTGAAGGGAGGACACAGTTACTGTATATGTGGCAAAGAACTCAATCTTGGATTCCCTATCTTCATTAACAGTTCAATAAACAGAGCACTGATCTTAAGACAGAAGACTCAGTCCAATTCTGCTGTACATTAAATGGCTATGAATGATAAAGATAAATATTTTATGACATTTAATATCTCTCTTGGCTAGCAGCTGCTGTAGTCTATTTTAGTTTGTTCATCATGGCATTAATGTAGTTTCCCGTACATGTTTCATTGGTTGTCATGTTGTAAATATATTTAGGGTCCCATCCTGTGAACACTTCCACATTCGTAACTATGCTCAAGGAAGATAATGCTTTTGAAGTCAATGCGATTAGTACTGGAACTAAATTTTTCACTACATTATGGTTCATTGAACGCCTATTCTTTACTGATTCAGCAGTGTACAATGTAAATTTAATCAAGGGAATTCTGTGAGAAAGGATACAGTGGTTGAAATACTTCTCAAAACTTATGGACAGGTATAATAAAACACAGATTTACTGAGAACCAGTCAGCAGTTGAAGCAGCTTACCTCCCATCCCCACCTCTAGGATTTCATGTGCCTCTCCTCAGAGACACTGTTGTAGGTTCCCCCAATCCTGGATCACTGTGGAACAGGGACGTGTCTTTCACGATGCTGACGGGTGTTTTGGGAAGCTGGTTGACTGGCTGGGTTCAAACCTGACTTTTATGAATCTCTTATTTTTCCCAAATATTTTAGCTGTCTCCCTGAAACCTTTGGAAAATTAACACTATTCTTAATAAATTTATAATCAGCAGATAATGACTAGAGCTGATATGAACGGTGTTCCTGCTAGCGAGCTTTAGAATTGGACATATTTTTTAATGAGATTGCTACCATTCATTTCCTTTGGTCAGGCCAAGTCATCAGATTAAGTTCTCAGATACTGCGGTAGTGTGGTAACTTATAAGTACCTGAGAGAGAGCAGTACCGAGCCTAAATCTATCCCTGTGCAACAGAAGAAAATGTTCATTTTTTCCCAGGGAAATGTTAAATGTCAGCAGTTCTGGTTCACTGACAGGTTCAGAAATTGGTCATCCTCAGATCATGAGATCCTACAATTTCATGGCCTTGTTCTGCATGAATGTTTGAGGGTGCATGTGGGCGAATCCAGGCTGAACTAGTTGGATCAGAGGGCAAGGGGGCTTTCTGTATTACTATAGAATTTACAATTATGTAAAACTCAGTGCTTCAAAGTGTCAGACTTAGAGAAGAAAGGACTTTGCCCAGAATTTGTGCTGCAGCACTCTTAAGCAATTTGTCTGTTTAAAAGAAATAATACTGAATGTATTTAGCTCATGGGTGAAATTAACCACCATAAAAGCATTTTTGGATCAACATGAATATATTATGTACTGGAATCAGTATAGGAAGAGCCAGTGCCCTAGCATCACTTCATAACAATGGGTGTTCTGCTGCTGGTAGAAGAAAAAGGGCCAGGGGTGGGTAGGCGGAGGTCCATTTTGCTACAGAATAAAAGTCATATCTGCAAAGTAGAAACTTTCAATACAAAATAGTTGAAGTTCAGGGGGAATACAAGAGGTGTGATATGGTGAAAACTTATTAACTTTTCAGTCTCATTTATCAAAGGTTTTGTAATGCCCCTGTCAAGTCTGGCTTAAAAAAAAAAAAGTGAAGAAAGCAAATATGTATCCTGGCCAATTTACTGAATAAACATTTTCCCATAAAACCAGTGCATTAGCTCTTGCTAACTCCTGTGGGTTTTATACTTGCTGTGTAGTGTTTGCTGTGCTGCCATTGTTCAGATGCACTGTTGTATAACGACCTCATTGCAGACATTGTTTCCAAAATGTCCATGGTAACCTGCCACCAAATAGTGGCATTTTTTAAACTCTTCGATCAGTTGAGTGTCCTCAGAGCCACTGATACTCTAAATCAGTGATACTAAGACCTCGGTGGTTCAGGAGTCAACTTAGCGATCAACGTTATTCAAAAGAGCCGCAGTAATGTGAATTTATTGTTTCATTTACCATTTTGTGTGTGTATGTATTCTCATAGCAAAATGACTGACCAAGTATTATTTTATCTACTACAATTGGTTAATAACATAGTAAATGCATCCTGTTCCATTTATAATTTAGTTTATTAATAATTAAATCATACAGTGTTTTAACATCACGTGCTGCAGAGAGCCGCAGGAGACAAAGTAAAGAGCCACTTTTGTGGCTCTCGAGCCTCAGTCTGTGTCATTGCTCTAAATATACCTTTCCAACTTGCTCATTCGTGTAGGAACTACTTGTTTGGAACCATGAAAAGCCCCACCTATAATTCATTTCCTTTCTACCTGAGCTGTTCTCTTGTCTTCACTCTCCCCCACTCCCAAAATATGGACTAAAAACTAAAAAAGTAAATCTGTTGGTGGCTTTTTATGCTGATGGTAAAAAGTTACTGTAGAACAATTTAGTCCTTGTTGCAAACTTTGGACCCTATTTGTGAAAACAGATCAGTTGCCTTACTGTGATTATGTCACCTAGTTTATGTGGAAGAACAGACAGCATAGAGTGTTGTTCCTTGTTCTGTTACTCACTAAATTCTTCTGTGGTTCACCAGACTTTGTGTAACTCATAAGAGAATAGAAAGGAAGAGACATGCTCTGTTGCCGATAACTGAGTTGTAAAGCAGTGATTGACTCTTACATAGAGATTTTTCCACCAATTGGTTGTCAAGATTGGATGCTTTTCTAAAAGCTCTGCTCTAGGAATTATTTTGGAGATGTTTTATGGCCTGTGTTATACAGGAGGTGAGACAGACAGATGATCACAATGGTCCTTTCTGGCCTTTGAATCTATGAATAAGCAGAACAGAGAACAGCACATTGAATAAGAATAGATTCTCTAATTGAAAGTGAAGGTATTCACTTAATATATTTTGATGGAGAGGAAAAAACAGACCTTTGGGGTTTCATTTTGCCAGTGCTATCTTGAGCACTTCAAAAGCTATGTTTAGGCAAGATTTTCTTCTAGGACTTGATATCTTGATCATGCTAGCAGGGAGAAATCAGTTTTTAAAACAAATACAAATCTTTATCCTCTTCATAAGCTGTAGATGAAACATGGCATTTCTGTGATGTGAAATATTCAGAAAATGGAAGTGTACTCAGATAACTGTGAACTTTTCTTCTTTTTTTAAATCTTCAGAAAAAGCAGTTGACCACCAGAAGGAATGTGAAGTTCACCAGTATGTGAAGTTTATTTCTAAACAAGATGTTGTCTGGAGGACCAAATAAACTTTTATGGACCATTGGAGCCGAAAGATTAGTTACATGACATTATTTTTGTCTCTTCACTGTGCAGTTCTGTACCAAGTCAATGTTGCTTTATGTTAAGACCAAACAGTAGTCTCCTGACATCAACATGTCGTCTGTAACGAACACTCAGACTCTAGCGGACTTTGATCCTCCTGTCCCTGAGGAAAAGTCAAAGGGGAAATCATTATTTCAGTTGGGCCCCTTCTTTGCTAACAGGAGTGAGAAAATTGTAATTGCCAGGAGTGACAGTGTACCAGAAGAAAATGTACTGAAAATAACCATCACTGAGACTACAGTCATTGAGTCGGACTTGGGCATCTGGAATTATCATGCTCTGATCTACCTCACATTGTGGTTTTTCTTTAGCTTTTGTACCCTTTTTCTTAACAAATACATTCTTTCACTACTGGAAGGAGAACCCAGCATGCTAGGTAATTATGATTTTCATTATAAGCTTCGGTTCCATTAAAATATTTGAGTGTCAGATTCTGTGTGATAGACTTAAATTGACGAGCGGTTTGTTCAGAGTGAGAGCAGCATGGTCAAGTGGTCTAAGCACAGGACTGGGATCTAGGAATGCCTAAGTTGTAATTTTGGACTTGACATGGACTCCCTCTGGCTTTTAGTGAATCTGCTAAATTTCTGTGCCTCAGTTTCCCCCTCTGTAAGGTGGGATAAAACTATTTCATAGAGATTCTGTGACGATTTGTAAGGTAATGTTTGTAAAGCGCTTTAAAGAGGAGTGCTATATAATTTTTGTATACAATGAAACCTTGTAGTCTATTGAGTGGTAAAATTGTGTTTTAGGGGTTTTTTTTAATAACTTAAAGTCTAATTTTAAATAAATTATTTGTATTCTTATCTCCAGAGACCTACATGTATCTAAGGTCTCACTGAATTGCAAAGGTTTGGTCTTCATATGACCATGTTAACATATCTGGTTTTTAAGGAGTAGGGGGACATGGTAACTGTGAACTAATTTGCATAGGCACACAGTTAATCCTCCATCTTTGTCTCTTATCCTGCTGGTCGTTTCAGAGGGAAAGGGCTTTTACTAGAATTTTATGAAGCTTAGAGATAAGCATCCATATTTGTTGACACCTACCAAGGATCTCTGAAACTAAATTAATCTAATTAATAGCTTGGTACTTAATGCTGTATTCATCTTCTGACCCCTCTTGGTTTCTCATTTTTTCTTAGGTGCTGTTCAGATGCTTTCAACCACTTTCATTGGCTGTATAAAAATGTTTGTTCCATGCTGTTTGTACCAGCACAAAACACGTATCTCTTACCCTCCCAATTTCATCATGACAATGTTGTTTGTTGGACTGATGAGGTAAATGGCTGAATATTTCCAGGGCGGGCAGTATACGTGGTAGCACTGTATATTGCCTTGCAGGAGACCCACTTTCACATCTCTTCTTCCTTCATGAGAAGGGCAGAGGGCATTGTTCATACAAAACTTTTTCTCAGAAATCTCACAATGATCCATCCATCCTTTAGTTGCTCTTTCTAAACACCTCTTTTCTTCTGAAAAACAAGTCTTTGAAACTCTTTGCACTCCATCGGTTTTAATCCGCCATCTAAAAAAAATCTCTCTCTCTCAATGTTTTCTTTTGGTGATGTGATGTTTCTCTTCTCTGTAAGACTAGTACTTTGTTCTCGTTCTGATTATTACTACTTATTGTGGTGTTGCTGTGTCCTCCTATTATCCTTTCCCAGCAATTTGTATCAGAAGTTATTTAAAATATTTATAAAATTACATTTTGTTTTTAAACCTACACCTTTAAAAGAAAGTATTTGCTATAGCCTTGGATAGAGCAAGACTATATATCATGCCTGATGAGAGGCTATTAAAACATTGTTTGGGCTCACCTTCACTTCAAGTCTAAACTGTTTTTTACTAAACTGGTAGCAGCTATTGAACAGAGTCTTTCAGCACTGTTGTGTTTTATGATTTAAAAGGAAACTGAATGGAAGTGACCTTTCATTCTGATGAAATAGGAAGCTTAAATGTAGCATACATAATTTAGTTACTATACCACAAATGTGTATATTTAAAAATTGTGGCACAGTAACTAAATTATGTTAAGCATCTAAAGCTAAAATGTGCCTTTTAAGCGTTGTTTTACTGTCTCTGCTTGACTTTGTATGTCTCTCTTTCAGGTTTGCAACAGTGGTTTTAGGTCTAGTAAGCTTGAAAAATGTGGCTGTTTCATTTGCTGAAACAGTTAAAAGCTCTGCACCTATTTTTACTGTCATTATGTCCCGGATGATTTTAGGGGAATACACTGGTAAGTAGTTTGTTGGAATGTTATCATTTTGCAATGTAATGTGGGCTATTTGGCGATTGATAAAGAGATTCCATCTGAGTTGTTTAGTGATTAATGCAGCTGGAAAAGTTGTCCTTATTGAACAGAGTCTCAACTATAAATTGAGCAGGCAAGGACCGTATAAAAAGTAATTTGTCAAAGGACAGTGTTGGTTGGAAATTTGCTTTTCTGACCCAAAAAAAAAAATACTGTTACAATTTTTTAGATACATTTTTTTTAAAAATGATGTTTATGTGTGTGTTCTTCCCGTGTGGAAAGCTGCTGATCTGACAAGCATTTTAAAAATCTTGAGTGTCTTCACTGTGTCCAGCCTGAGGCTAAAAAATAAAACTGGCCTCTTAAATGCTTTTTCATAATCACCACTGAATTGCAATTGCATTCCAATCTTCTCGTCTTTGAGGGACCTTGCCCTAATCAGCAATGTGAATTCTTCCTGACATGAAGTCTGAGGGGTTGAGGACTGAATGAAGCCAGAGGAAGGAGGATTAGCACCATTGCAGGGATGGAGGGCAAATATTAATTTCTTCTGCCATTTGAGGACACTGACAAGAAAACCAAGGCTGGAGAAGGTCAATTTTAATTTACCTCTGCAGGGCAGATGTGCTGGTAACTCAGTACACCTATAATATCTTTAAGTGCAGGTCAACAGCTTGTCTGAAATCTCCTTTGATTGAAACTAAAATATCCATTAGTTTTGAAATGAGAGGAGTCATTACTAAACAAGTTAAGATGGAGCTCATTAAGTTTTTCTAAATTTGTATTATCTGACGCATGTAGTTTTGTAAAAAGAAAAGGAGTACTTGTGGCACCTTAGAGACTAACCAATTTATTTGAGCATGAGCTTTCATGAGCTACAGCTCACTTCATCAGATGCATACCGTGGAAACTGCAGCAGACTTTATATACACACAGAGAATATGAAACAATACCTCCTCCCACCCCACTGTCCTGCTGGTAATAGCTTATCTAAAGTGATCAACAGGTGGGCCATTTCCAGCACAAATCCAGGTTTTCTCACCCTCCACCCCCCCACACAAATTCACTCTCCTGCTGGTGCTAGCCCATCCAAAGTGACAACTCTTTACATAATCAAGTCGGGCTATTTCCTGCATAGATCCAGGTTTTCTCACATCCCCCCACCCCCATACACACACAAACTCACTCTCCTGCTGGTAATAGCTCATCTAAACTGACCACTCTCCAAGTTTAAATCCAAGTTAAACCAGAACATCTGGGGGGGGGGGTAGGAAAAAACAAGAGGAAACAGGCTACCTTGCATTTTTGTAAGTACAGTAATGTAAAGTAGAGCTGGATGAATTTTTTTGGCCAGAATTTTTTCACTGAAAAAAGGCAGATTCAGCAACACTGAAACAATTCATGATTTCCTTTCTGGTTAGGTGAATTGTTCAGGGAAAAAAAACTCTGTCGTAATTATTCATTTTAGAAAGACAGGGTGCGTGAAGTAATTGTGACATGCCCCAGAGTACAATCTGGATTGTTGGATCGTTGTGCCCTCTTAACTCTACAGTCTGGAATGCACTATGCCCTGCTTTGTTATGTGAGCGGCCGCTCTGCCCGCCCACCCCAGCCCTCTAGTATGCAAGTCACCCACAGACATATACCAGAGTGCTGTGCACAACCACTCTTGAATTACATACAGGGCAACACCCGCATATTCCTAGTCCAGACTTGCACCCCAGAAATGTCCATTTTAAACTGCTTAAAACCGCTTTGATCAGGGTAAACTCATTAATTAGTTTGTTGTTCCATCAAAGGGTATGAATATGCTCCAGCCTTTGTAACCTGAGTAGATTCCCCAAACTGCAGTCAAAAACACACTGGCTTAGATAAAACATAAAAATAAGTTATTAGCTACAGAAAAATAGATTTCAAGTAATTATAAATGACATAATCTTGAAGATCAGAATTGGTTACAAAAAGAAAGTAAAGATAAAATCTCAGTCTAATTCCTAAAGTTTATCAAGTTAAGTCAGATTTGAAGGTTTCTCTGACCCAAAAGCCTACAACAGTCTGTGCTAACTGGAAACCTCTTCCAGTTAGGACCACTTCTCCCAGTTCAAATGTGTCTTTGTCTTCCAAGTGATCTTCTTGCCTTCAGTAAAGGTTGGGGAAGAGAGGGGGCCTGATGATGTCACTGTCCCTTATTTTATACTCTCCTCCAGGTGCTGGAAAAATCTTTACTATGTCCTGGGGTTAGGCAGCCCCAATGGCGGATATAGAGTTAGTGGGGCCCTGTGCACAGCTTCATTTTCAGGGCCCCTCCCTTGGGACCCAGCCAAGAAAAAGATCATTCTCTTACATCTTCCTCCCCCCCGCCCCCATTTTTCATTCTTTTTTTCTTCATCCTCCCCCTATATTATAAGTAATGGGAAGTATTTTAAAATAAAGTGAGGTACCTTGATTGCGGCAGGGGGTTGGGGTGAAGGAGAGAGTGTGGGGGTTGGGCTCTGGGAGGAAGTTGGGGTGCAGGCTCTGGGCTGAGGCAGGGGGTTGGAGTGTGGGAGGAGGGCAGGGGAGCAGCGCTTACCTCAGGAGATGCAGCTCCCAAAGCCACCGGCGCACACACCCCTTTGGCAGCAGCTCCTAGGCGGGGGGCCAAGGAGTCTCTGCGCGCCGCTGCCCACAAGTGCTGCCCCTGCAGCTCTCATTGGCTGCAGTTCCTGGCCAATGGGAGCTGCAGTGTCAGCGCTCGGGGCGGGGAGCAGCCCACAGAGACCCCCCCAGCAGCTGCAGGGACATGCCAGCCACTTCCAGGAGCGGCACAGCATGGAGGGAGAGAGGCAGAACAGGCAGGGAGCCACCTTAGCCCTGCTGCTGGCACGTCTATGCGCACCCCTTGGGGTGAAGGGGGCAGTGGGTCTCCATGAGCTACCCAGGGCGGGCACCTCCCCCCCCACCGGGGGCGCGCAGAGACATGCCAGTAGCTGGACGCTTACAGGAGCAGCATGGGGCCACCGGCCATAGCATGCATGCAGCCTGCCTGAGCCCTGCTATGCTGCCGGCCGGGACTCAGGTACAGATGAGATTTGTCCTGCATTTTTGCCCCCCCTTCCCCCCGCCCTCCCGTCACTGGGGGCTCCGTGCCACCGGATGGTTAGTTTCATGGTAAATCCAGTCCTGGGCAGCCCCATTGCCTACTTGCCCAGCATTCAGTCCTTCATATGAATTGTAATTTCTTGCTTTTGTGTACATGAGGCTTGACATGTAAGATTTGTGTTCACAGTTCCTTTGTTATTTCTAAGGAGCTGGTCTGTGGGCATTTCCCAGACTCTCAACACGTTTCAGTAACAAACATATAGCAAAATCTCATAACTTCATATGTAGTGACACACGCATTTCAACAGGACAGTAATGTTCAACAGATTATGACTTTTCCAGTGATACCTCACAAGGCATACGTGGTACAAAGTATATCATAACTAGGATATATTCTGGAAAAACCAGACCCGTAAAAGAACTCTGTGTAAGCTTTGAAGCTTGTCGCTTTCACCAACAGACGCTGGTCCAATAAAAGTTCTCACCCACATTGTCTCACTAATTTCCTGGGACTGACAGGGCTCAGTACTGCATACAATGATTCATTTTGACATTTTTGAAATGAAACATTTTGATGTTTTCATTTTGAAATTACCTTCAATTTTATTTTAAAAGATGCAAAAACATTAAGCACTCAAAATAGAAACAAAAGTTTTATGTAGAACAGAACATTTTGTTCAACTTGAAACAGATATTTTTCAATTTTTTCCTTTTGCTGAAATTCCCCAAAAATTAGTTTTTGTGTGACCCAAAATTATTGATTTTTTTTTTTTAAATTGGAACTGCTAGCAAACAGAAAAATCCATTACTCACTCAGCTCTGGTTTAAAGCCAATTTTTATTTATTTATTTTTTTACTTACAGGATTGCTGGTGAATCTGTCTCTCATTCCTGTCATGGGAGGATTAGCTCTATGTACAGCCACTGAAATCAGTTTCAACATTCTGGGTTTTTCGGCAGCTTTGTCTACTAACATCATGGACTGGTGAGGCCTGATGAAGGTTGCATGTGGAGCAGAGAAGGAATTGTTAGTTTATTTGTAAACTAAGCCATATCTTGTCCCAGGCTGTACAGTTCAGCTGGTGTTTCCCATACAGTATTTTAATTCTTGGTATTCAGATATCTATTTCTTAATAGAAAACATAGTGCTCTTAGAGGTGAGAATGCCATACCTGTCAGAACACAGTGGATAAAGAATAGAACAACTCCTATGCTACAAAGTCGTGTACAATTGAATTATCTCCGTTCATGATTCTTGACAAAGTCTATTTACAAGGGATTACCAGCATGCAACCATTTTGTCATTTGTGACTAGCAGTGTCCTGGTTTGTAGCCGGTGGTAGCTTTGTCTTTTAACTACGAGGCGGAGGGTGGGACAGAGCCAGTCAACTGCAGGTTCTTATTGCTGGTGAACACAAAGGGTTAATATAAGTTGCTTATGTTTTTTTTTAATAAAATATGTGACCATGTTATGGAAGAATTGCCAAATGCGTAAAACCAGTAATGCACAAATAAGTTGCAACTAATATAGTATGGAAGAGCACTAGCACCTCTAAACTTCAGGTTGAGCAGATATATATTTTTAATGTTGCTAATAAGATAATTGAAATACTCCTAAGTTAGGTTATTGGGGTAATATTTTAATATGCTAGGTTAACAATGAGTTCAGATAACACAAGAAAATGGAAAACTTCAGGCATGGTAAATCATTGACTGTAGTTAAAAAAGTAATCAGAAAGCCATGACGGTTTTCTAATAAATTTCTATTTATAAGAACACTTTTCTCTCTGTAAAGAAAGCCTTTTCATATCTGATTGCAAGGTAAAATAAATAAACTAAAATGCGGAGAACTTTCTGATTCTTAAATATGTTTAAGGCAGTCGAGATTGTCTACAAAACTCTTCAGTTGCATGTCTCCATTAAATGGTGAGCAATTCAAAAATAATCAGTGTAATAGACTGCTGGGAATTTTTGTTTACGAAATGTCAAATTCTGTGGTCCAGAATTGTTTACAGGGGACACTGGTTCTTGCCATGGTTGTATTTGGATTAGTATTCATGTCCAGCGTCTGTCATTTCCTTTAAAAGTTTTGCCTTTTAGATCTAATTGGAGTCCAGATATCCATCCCTGTGTTAAAACAAAATAGGCAGATAAGATGATAGTAGGCCTGATTCTCCACACATGTTCATTTGTATTCACTTAGCACAAGTATAAATAAATATACAAGGTGCAAGACAGTGATGCCTCCAGCCTATATTTCAAATAATTTGTGTCTATATCTCAAGGCAGATGCAAGTACAGGCATGAGAGGGTGTGTGCATTTTTTATTTTTAAAATTATGTACCTGCAAATCAGGTGTGTGCTTCTGCTTTTGGTTAATTGCAGTGTTGTAGATTAGTCTGAATACTGAATAACCTACGTACTCATTTGTTCTAAATGCCCATGTCAGTGCACTACACCATCACAGGCTGGATATTCTTGTCTTGTTTTAATTTTTATCACTGTTTCCTAGAGCACAGCTGAACAGTAAAAGAAAAATAAAGAGTATTTTAGTTCAGTTCTCTGTGAAGCACTTGAAAATTTAAAGTCTAAATCATTTATATTTACAATGTTAACTGCAAAGGAACCTTATGCTGCTTCTGAATGTTAAAAGTTAATAAGGCAATGCAAAAATGTAAATTAGCATCTTCACTTGCAGTATGTCAATATTTATATAGAATGTGTGGAGTAGATTGGTGTTTTGTATATATTCCAAAGACAGTAATATATGAATCTGAGACTTAACTGGTTAAAAGAAAAAAGTAGTGCAGTTGTTATACCATATATCATTTTAATATTGTTGTATTGTGGTAACTTTATAAGTCTGGGAAGATTTTGTTCAATACAGTAATTGTGTTATGGTGCCTTCTGTAATTCTCTGATCTTGCTTTCATTTCTTTTTAAAAAGTGTATTACTTAATAGTGAATCGTGTGCTATTTATAAAATGTGAATTTTAAAGCAAATTAATTAAATTTAAAACAGGATATAAAAACTTTTTACAGTATGTTATAGGATATGCATTTATTTTTATATATATATATATACACACACACACACACAGCAAAAGAAGTTAAATTGCTTACTAAAGGACTTCTTTCTGAATACATCTTTGTTGTGATCTGTTTAAATGCATGAAATAGAAGAAAACCCACTGTAAATCTGAAGTTGTATGTGACTGTCAGCAAGTATTTTATCGAAAACCTCATTTTGTGTCTTATGGAAATTACCGTTAAGTTCATTGCTTCATCTGTTCATTATAAATGGCACCTACAGACAATTTTTTTTATTTTTATTTCCCCAGTTTGCAAAATGTTTTTTCCAAAAAGCTGCTCAGTGGAGACAAATATAGGTTTTCGTAAGTATCTATAATATTTCAAATATACAGCGTACAGAACGGTCCCAGGAAACATCTGGGAACTACTTGTTTATAGTCATGTGGGACTGGGACAAGACTTTCTGTCTTCTCTATGTAGTTTGCTGATGACAGGTATCCTATATACTTTAAATGATTGTGTGTCAGGAGTGGGAGGAAAAACTTTTGTATCCAAAATACCCATAAGCATTTGCTGGGGAGATGAAATCATGATCAACCAGAAATTCCCTCAGGATACCTAAAATGACAGTCACTTACTCCCAAACACAAAAATAACTCCTTGGGGCCCAAACCTGGAAGCCCTCCATCTGCATAGAACTCCCACTGAAATCAGTAGGCTTGCAGAAACAGGCCCTTAATTTCCATTCCACAGTTTAAAACTCATGAACAGTACACGAAGGCATGAACAATACAGAACGCATGAATCAGTAATCAATTATTGCAGCAAATTCTGCCTATCCACAATTACAACACCTTTAAAAACAAACGATACAGAATGTTAAATGAACACTACAGTGTGTTGTTCAGAAGCAATTCCATAAACACAATTTTTTTTAAACTGAATTTGTTTTTTAAAAACAGCTTGCCTATTAAATTCAAGACCATCTCAGCCAGCATGGAAAGCAAACTTTGTTAGTTCTTTCAGAAACTTTGAATTTATCTTCCATGAAGCTTTTAAAAGATTTTTTGACCACTGTAAAGTGTCAGTGTAGAGATTTCTATTTAAATGTAATACAGCTTTCTTTCTGTTACAGTTAAGGAAAAGCTTTTAAAATATTTATTTTTGTATTATTTGATTTCCATTTATAGTGCTCCAGAACTTCAGTTTTACACAAGTGCTGCTGCAGTTATTATGCTCATTCCAGCTTGGATATTTTTCATGGTAAGAATTTTTATTTGTTAACAAAGATTAATGTTGCTTCAGAGGAACAGCCGTGTTAGTCTGTATTCACAAAAAGAAAAGGAGTACTTGTGGCACCTTAGAGACTAACCAATTTATTTGAGCATGAGCTTGCTCAAATAAATTGGTTAGTCTCTAAGGTGCCACAAGTACTCCTTTTCTTATTAATGTTGCTGTTTGATTTGTCCAAATGGCTAACTTTCAGTTTTCTTTTCCCCTTCCGTACAATCATGCTGGCATGCATCCCTGTTTACTTGTGGTGTTTAAGCAAGAGATCCAGAAAATTATGTTTTAAGAAGCAGTTTCATATAGACATGACATGACAAGTAAACCAGAAAGAGAAAGTTTGTTTCAGGAGTTTAGGGAGCAAGTAATTTAGTCTGAATAAATGCCTCCAAAGGGGCAAGGTGGATGAGGTAATACCCAAAGAGGCAGACACTTGAAGACTTAAAAAATAAATCCTAATGTTTGTAGGCTTCTTGGATAATAGCACTTTGTATTCACATAGTACTTGTAACCTTAATTATAAAAGAAGAAATTGAGGCATAGTAGATACAATTTGTTAGAGGCTGGGTAGAACTGTGTGGTTCCTAGCTCCCATTTCTGTGTTCCAACCATTAAACTGCATTAACCAAATGCAGCAGAAAAAAGTTGACTTAATTAACAGTACATGAAAGTATGATATGCTGTGGTAAGATAGTGATAGAATAGCAAAAATAATGATAGATAAACCTGTCCTATTACCTTATGTATGACAACAGAGGAGATAAATGCAATCATAGTTTCAGAGTAACTGCACCCATATTCCCCTCCATGGTCCCTTGAAGGCACTTACTTAAGGTGTCTGGCTCCCTAGCCATCACCTCTCTTGGGGTGGAGACTTGCGTTTCTCTACCCCGTGACTGGGGTTTGAAGGCTGCACAGCTCCCTGCCTTGCACTGTAAGGTCCCCAGCAAGCCAGTCTGCCTACATGTGAGCACCTGTGCTTTGTTTTCTCCCAAACGGCTATGAACAGTGTATTGCCAGCAGCTACAAATTACTTCACGGTTCCTTCTAATCAAGCACATTCATTCTTAAAGCAAAAGCTTTACTGAGAAAACCTATACAAAACAATGGAAGTTCCTATATGCATGCTGAAAGCTTATTAAAGGTCACACGTCAGTGTATTGGGGCCCTAAGAGGACAAAGTCCTTCCAACGCTTCAACAAGGGTTGTCCCCCCTCCCCCCTTGGAGAGAAGATCCTGTTTGCTGGATCAGAAAGAAGGCCTTGAGTCATTTTAACTGCAGTCCTTCTTTGCCAGAACCCTTTCTTTGTTTGTTACTTGGTCTCTGGAAAATCCAGTTTGAACCAGCATATGCGTGGATACCAAAGGGTGGTACCCCTCTGGATGTGTTTAAATCCTATGTGAGTCATCTTAATAACCCCCTACTGGTTTTGGTTCCTGGAAGAGCTGTGATAATCCTCCATCATGCAGTAGATCACAATCCTGCATACAATCCCTGGACCACAGTGATATATAAACTTAATATGATATGTTCCACCAAAGATCCTGTAGGCAGTTACAATATCTGTCACAAAAGCAATTATTGTAACCATGCTAGCTAGATTAAAGATGTCTTCAAAAATATCCCCATGCGGTGCTTGCACACATCAGTGTTTAATTCAGAAGATGCATGGTTCTTGGTTCTCTTTAAAATCCTCTTGTGTGATCACCATTTCATATACAAAGGGAGGAAGAGAGCAGCAATAGTGAGAGAACGTATGCTTCTAATTTTGATTACCATAAATTCCTGTGCTAGATGACTATAACAGATTGGCAGACTTTAGGCTCTTTACAGGAATAGAGAGTTCTTCTGCTGAATCACCTGAGATTTTGGTGCTAAAACCTTTCATTAGTAGTGTTATACTAGCTGGTTAAGACCTCAACATGAATTCAGGGTAGATACTGAGAGGGGATGAGTTTGGACACTAACTCAGGGTCAGTGTGCTCTGTTTAGGGTGGGTTACGAACTCATCTCATTGTGAATGGACCAAGTCATCATGACAATCAAATTACATCAACAGTTACAAAATTAAATCTGTCATAATAACTTCACGTGAGGCTAGGTGTCAGGGTTGGTGGAGGGTTAATAGAGAAGCTTTTTGTTGTAACATGTTAATATTCAAAGGAGGAAATATCACACAGGATAAGTGACAAATAATGAAAAGTTCAGATAGATAGGGCTTAGGCTCTCCTTGCTCTCTCCTGCAGAGAAGATAAAACATGAAGGGTATAAACATTCCATCTCCTACTTCTGAAAATTAGATTAAATATTCCTGTCTTTATTTCCAGTATAAAGAAGTGTCTCCCTTAGGCCTAGGAGTAAAATTTAAGTTGCCTAGCCTATGTTTGCTTGTAAAAGAAAACAGGACACAGCTAGACTCTTAAAATCCTGTTCCATTCTTTGGCTTTAGGATGTGCCAGTGATTGGGAAAAGTGGAAGGCGTTTCAGTTACAACCAAGATGTCATTGTACTGCTCCTAATAGATGGAGTCTTGTTCCATTTGCAGAGTGTTACAGCATATGCCTTGATGGGAAAGATTTCTCCTGTAACTTTCAGGTAAAATTATAGATTGTGTCAAAATTATTGTTCTTTCCGTCCTTAGACCATCTCATACAGGTAACTGATTGAAAATGCTATATGGTGGAATAAATAAAATAAATTCTATATGTAGTCCAAATTAATAAGGATGTTTTCCAAATCCTAAAAGCAAACATAGGGCCAAATCCTTGTACTTTCCTTGTATGAGTAGTACCATTGGTTGCAAAGGGACTACTGCTTTTGTGTGTAAGGAAAACAGGATTTGACCCTTGGCATTATGCTTGTGGGACAGATACGCACAGTTCTTGGCCTCATTTCACATAAATAAGCAACTACATAGGGATACACTTACAAATTGCTGAATGAAGTTTTAGGTATGTGATTCTAATTTTAAAATATTTGCTAATACTGCCAGTTTTCTGGTGGGAATGAGTAGGTAAGTGGATTAGCCAAGGGAGAATTAGTGACATTCTATTGTACGCTTTTCAAAAAATAGCATTTCTCTTACTTGATGACTTTAATTATTCCCACTAGCTCTCAGTTTAGGGATATTACGCAAATGTAATTGCTGATACTTAAAGAATTCCACAGTCACTTTTTTATTTGCCTAAGTAGGAAAAGTGGAATCTGACTTTCTGCAAGATAAAGCACCGAAAGATCCAAGTGTGATTAGAGCATACTGAATATATTGTCAGGTTTCAGAGTAACAGCCGTGTTAGTCTGTCTTTGCAAAAAGGAAAGGAGTACTTGTGGCACCTTAGAGACTAACCAATTTATTTGAGCATGAGCTTTCGTGAGCACTTAAGTGAGCTGTAGCTCACGAAAGCTCATGCTCAAATAAATTGGTTAGTCTCTAAGGTGCCACAAGTACTCTTCTTTTTGAATATATTGTGTGTGTCAAAGCCTTTCAGTCCTTAATATTTGTGTTTTGTTGTTTCAGTGTTGCTAGTACTGTGAAGCATGCGTTGTCAATCTGGCTAAGTATTATTGTGTTTGGTAACAAAATTACAAGCCTCTCAGCCATTGGGACAGTTCTAGTAACAATTGGCGTTTTGCTATATAACAAGGCAAAGCAACATCAGCAAGAAACAATACAAAGCCTGGCAGTGGCAGCCTCACAGAACACAACTGAAGATACCAAGCCACTAATATCCAAGGATTTAAAGCCATATGAGTGATACGGCTCTTAATTCTTCTACCACAACCTGACATAACTCAGAGGAACTCTCTCTTAAATGGACGCTACCCTAGCTGTTGGCAATGCTTGGTTTCTTTGAATTCACAACAGGTGAAAGAATGGACTTCACTGCAGAGAAGGAAAAAAGGAGAAGATCCTATAAGCCCTGGCTTACTAGAAACTGACATGTAGAACAGAAGACCAAGAGTAATCCAATATGGTAAACATTGGCGTCATACTCCTTTCTTGACTCTGCAAATAAATAACAAGACTATACTGGAGATAAAACTTCAGTGTCAGATGGAAAAATAACTTGTGCCCCAGCCCCACCAAAGTAATGTGATAACATGACCCATCCCTGTTTTCTGCATGCTTGCAGTAGGATGAAACTAGTGCGGAGGAAAAAAATGTCTAGTTGCCACTCTTCTTAAACATCCTAGACTGCCTGTGTGCATGGAGAGGATCTGGGAGAAAGCACTTTGAAAGACAAAATCAGTAATTTTTGCTTACACAGCTGTTGGTGTAAATGATGAAAATAGGCAGCTACTCTTGAGTATAAAGCCAGCAAAGAGAATTTTGCTTTCCTTTGAAATTCTCTAACAACTGGAGCATTGCAGTTTGCCTGGGTACCGACCACATGCATGTTTCTGCAAAAATGAAACACGCACACATGCCTATAAACTAGGAGTCAACACAAATAAGTATAGTTGCTATCAGGCAAAAACCACTGGAAATTTTCAGAAATAAATGAGGCATCAGCATTTCTATAGTAAGTACTGTCTTAATTTTAGAAATACAAAAGTTTCCTTTGCATTGTAATTTATCATAAAATATTTTTGAGGCAAGAGGGGAATGAGTTTGTTTGTTTTAATCTATAGGAGAGCAGTAAAAAAACAATAGACTTCTTGAAATTCGGGGTTACAACTGTCTTTAGCTTTTGTGCTCAAATATTTTAGTATGTCCTGTTACAGTGATAAGTCAGAATGGATAGAGTTTTAACCTTAAATTGAGAATATTCTGACGTCTGTTTCTTTTAAGTTTTTTTTTTTAATTTTGCATGATATAATGTTAAAAAAAAATCAGTGCTTTGAGAGAAAGAAGGTAGAAAGCTTCAGCTTCATTTTGATTATTTCACTTTTAAAAAACGCTAAATCTTTCTTCATTGTTGTCAGAATTACAGCATAGGCCTCTCTCTCCATAGGGCAGCCATGGTCATCAATCAAGATTTAGAAATTCCCTACAATAACCGGTGTAGTCCTGGTTTTACCTAATGTTAGTGAAACCCAAATCAGTGCCGTGAAGCACAGTGTATCATGCCATAGGCATGTCTAACTTTTACCAGACAAAAATATAGCAACTTGATCTGTGGTACAGCCAGATTTCACTCTCAAACAAAGTGATGGATTTGCTCACTCATATAGGGCTTTTAATATAAAAGAAATTGCCCCTCCAACTGCAAACAATAAGTGCTTTTCTCCAGTAAACCAAAGCATTAAACTACAAGTAACAAATCCAAACAAGATGCAATCTGGGGATCATGAAGAGTTTGGGCTGTGAAAAATTGGGAATAAAAAACAAAGCTAAGGTAGTATTCTCAAAGTGTTCATCCTTTTTTACTGCCTACACACTAATGTTTGCACTAGCTTTGTGTCTGACCATCTGACATGATCTGGAGAGTGGTCTGTGCTGTAAGGTCAGGGATATTGGGAACACACCGAAACAAAGCTATGCATTGTTTAAAAATCCAGTAGTTAATGTAGAGTGGACGTGCTGCAATATAAAACTGTTTCCTTTTAGCTGTTAGATATAACTTGCAATTGTAGTGGTCTCTTTAGACCTGTTTACTTATTTGGGCAAATCTGCTGCATGTCTAGATCCCTTTAGGGAAATAAAAAGTTAAGCTTGGAGTTCTGTTTGACAAGATGCTAGCTTCAGAAGAGTCTGTCTATATGAAAGAGTCCACCATCTATCCCATAAATAAATTGAGCATAGTCAGTAGAATTTATTGGACACATTCTGCACATAGCCAATTGGCATATGTTTCCAGCCTGGCACTATTTTTCTCATCTACACAAGGGATAAACAGATCTGTAGCTCCATTTGCCTTGTGACAGCTCAACATCTAGCCAAATCAACTACGTGAATCAGCCAAATTTCTGATGAATGTCATCTAGATGCAAAGTCATAGGTAAAGCTGTGGACTATTTGAGATCAAGCTCATTTTTAAGTTCTGCCTTCCAATAGTTGACTTAGCGTTCTGCCAAGAATTTACAGTCGCAATTTCACTGAGATTTTCAAAGTCCAGTATCACTTCTTGGCTTACATAAAGGTAGATAATTGTCAATAATTGTGCACGGAACCAATATTTTAACTGTCTAGCATATTTTTTATAAAAAGTACACATCTTCCATGAACTGCCATTCTAAGATGTAATATAAGTGGCTTAATGAAAACATTTGATTTTTTTTTTTAAGCTTGTCCTGATGTAAGTTACCCAATGCATTATTTTCACTGCCAGTTTCTTTTTGATTGTATATGCCTTTTTGTTAAAGAGAAAATATGCGAACTGCATGCAAAGATTGTTTGGATTTGGATTATTACGTGGCTCAACAGTCAGGCCTTTGAGGTCCATTGAAGTCCAAGAACAGAGTTCTCTAATGTTTTCTCTTTGGAAAACATGACAGATTTCCTGTTGCCAAAGTGTATAATATGTTTATTTGAAAATCAAAGGGCATATCCTTATTTTGCATGCATGATTTTACTACATCAGAATAAATATATTGCCTTGGATTTCTGGGATGTCAAAGGGCCTTCAAATAAACCATTGTGTAAATACCTAGCTAATTTGGCAAGGAGAGTGATACTGAAAACCACAGGGTAAACATAAATCACAGTAGGATAGGGCGGGTATTTATTTTAAAATCCCCCTCACCCCTAGTATGGCATACTGATGCTTGACTGACGGGACCAACTGACTTGCAGATATAAGGAAACAGTTCATTATGTACATTAACGATGATGATACTATCCCCAAAACTACATATCTGCCATCTGAAGATGTGGTTAATAAAGCTGCTGTTGGACAATGATTATTATATATATTAATCTCCCCATGGATATAAAATGCTGGGTTAATTGTAATTAGGTTGTGACCATTTCATGTTGAATCCCTCTCTCCCCTTATGACTAAGCGATCCCAGTGTTCTAGTCACCCTGCAATTTGATCTTTCTCTAACTTTCTTATAAAAATCTGAGTAGCATTTGTGGTACAAATGAGTTACTGTGAAGACTCCATTATCGTACATTGACTCTGCTGCCTGGATTTTAGCACAAGTGACTTACTTAAGCAGTCCTAAGGAATCATTTCTTTTTCAAATATGAATCAAAGCTAATATTTTTTTTGTTTGTTTTAAAAATTATAGCTCATGGCCTATTCCTGACTTTTATTCATAGTTTCTCCCCTTTTCTGCAGGTTATTTCCCCTATGTTTTTGTCTTTTAGTGGGTGTAGGTTAGAGATGTAAATATTGTTTAAAAAGTTAACTGTTTAAACAATTAAAATTACATGGTTTAATCGGTTAACCGATTAAAGGGAGAGGGGCTGGGGTTGGTTGGTCGGGCTGGGGCTGAGGTCATCTGGCTCGGGACTGGGGCTGCTTCAGCCAGCTGGCCTAGGGTTGGGAGTTAACGGTTAGGGTGGGTTAACCAGTAAGACTAATGCTTACTGGTTCACCGTTTAATATTTTATATCCCCAGTGTAGCTGCTTTTAAGTTTCCCCTCATACCAATAGCAAGGGATAGGTGTCTTGAAAATAACTCGGACATTTTCTTTTCTCTTGTTCTCTTTCCAGCCACTGCAGATCTCTATAATCACTCTTGTGTTTGTCTTAAGGAATGAAAGTGCTCCCAAGCCCAGTTTTTGCACAGTCCAACATGATGCCTCAGAACTGGGGTGAATGTTTAGCTTTTAAGCCACTTCTTGAAAGCTGAACACTTCATGCCTATTTAAGCAGCATTTTATTAATTTAATGGAGCTTCCCGAACCACATTTTGCTAGTCACATTAGTAACCCTATCTAAGAAAATATGACTCGAACTACCCCAGTTGGGCAGCTCCTCTTCTAACTGTTTTTAGGAGAGAATCTAATCACATCTTCTCTATCCTGTCGGTAAGGGATGGAGAAGAGAAGGAGGAGCAGAACACCAGAAATGGTCATCAGTATCCACTTGGAGAGAATTTCAGCTCCTGAACCGCAATAAAGCAAGGCTTCCTGGAAGCCTCAGAAAGCTGCCATGGTTCAGCACCCTCAGAGCCAAGTTTTTGCTAACTAGTCATTGATCAGAAGAAAGAATCAGTGAATTGCTGTTTCAGTGCAGGCAAAGGGTTCTAAATGAAGATTTAAATAAGTATGTTACAGAAGAGAGGAATTTATCAAGTGGGTAATAGTAGGGTGACCAGATAGCAAGTGAGAAAAATCGGGACCCTTTTTTTCCCCGGGGGAACGAGATAGTTGTATGTAAGACAGAGCCCCTAATATCAGGATGGTCCCAATAATATGAGGATCTCTGGTCACCCTAGATAAGGGTATTGGCTCACCGTTCAGCAGTCCTTTAAGTGGAAGATACTTTAGCGTCTGAGAAACTTGAAAACACAGTAACTCTAATTGCTGCTTCTATGTCAGGGCCAAACCTTTATGTATTTGATACCAAACTACGAATGTTGGACTGAAATACATGATACATATTATTTTGTAGGTATTTTGTATAGTCACAATTCCAGTGTTTATGTAAGGTAGGACATTTGAGTACTTTATAAAAAAAAAATAAAATCCCTCATGCATAATCAATTAAATATAACTGTTAATTCTGTTTGTAATAAATATCTGATCCTGTGAATACCAGTCGTGATTGTTCCTGTGTATGATGCAAACAGACATGATTAAACATCCTCGTTTTTTACTTATTCTTGAAAAGAAGAAAGTTAATGTATAATGTTTTTATTCATTATTTCTTCTAAGAAAAAAATAAAAAATTCCATCATGTAAGTTTCTATCTGTGAATGTGGTTATTTAAATATATATGAAAACTTTCTTCAGTGATCAGTGACTGTACCTTAGTAATGAAGCCGAAACTCCAAACCCCAGGCATACTGGGGATGATGAGGAAACAAACCAGCCTTTTTCTATTAGACAATGTAAATCTCTTTCTGGGGAAAGTGGGGAGCAGCGTATTGTGGTGAGTAGAGCAGCTAACAAGTCAGGACTTTTTTAGAGTATGTCTACAAAGGGATTAAAAAAAAAAACCCATGGTGGCCCGGTCAGCTATTTCTGACTCACAGGGCTTGCTTGGGCTTTGGGGCTGAAAAATTGCTTTGTAAACGTTCAGGTTCATTTGGGCTGGATCCCGAACTCTAGGATCTGCAAGGGTTGATGGTCCCAGAGCTTAGGCTGGAGTCCGAGCCAAAATGTCTACACAGCAATTTTTAACCTCACTGCCCGAGCCCTGTCAGCCCAAGTCAGCTGACCTGGGCCAACTGCAGCCATGCTGCAGGTCTTTTATCCCTGTGTAGTCATATCCTTAGATTCTAAATGCTGTCTCTAGGAGTGGAGTGTGGTCTAAACATTAGAGTCTGGGACTGGGGATTATGCCATCTGAATTGCAGTCTCATTTCTGCTAGTGAACTGCCTTGAGACCTTTGGCAAGTTGCTTAATCACCCTAGCAATTTTGCCCATCTGCAAAATAAGATTCATACATTTGTATCTCATTGGGGTGAGAGTTTGTGAGGTTTAATGTTTCAACAACCCTTCTGTTTGACAGTGCTAATTTTTGTTATAATTATATAATTAAACTGAATTCCACTTTGATTGGTTTTTGTCATCTAATTTCTTAATCTGCTATAACCATATATGGCTTTCTTCATCTGCTGTTTGTTCTTCACAGTGCCTGTTTTCAAGGTCTAGGCACCATTATGTCAGAATTTGTAATGCTTGTTCTTTCAATGTGCTGCCTCCTAGTGTGCATTCATTCCTTGATCTTTTCATGGTCTGTGTGTATATAAATCTCCTCGCTGTATTTTCCACTGAATGCATCCGATGAAGTGAGCTGTAGCTCACGAAAGCTTATGCTCAAATAAATTGGTTAGTCTCTAAGGTGCCACTAGTTCTCCTTTTCTTTTTGCGAATACAGACTAACACGGCTGCTACTCTGAAACCTGTCCTTGATCTATGACATTTATTGCTTTACTTCAGAGCTTTTGGGTTACTTGCGTGTCTTGATTTTGTTAATTTAATGTCTTTCTAACAGTGATGCTTTAGCTCATCAAAAGTTGCTCTAGCTCAACAGAAATTAGGGCTTAATGCAAGCAATTCTTGGTTAAATTTCTGTGCCTTTTTTTCATGCCAGAAGTCAGACTAGATAATCATAATGGTACCTTCTGGTCTTAAAATCTAAAAATCTTTAATGTTGATAAAAGATTACCAGAGCATGATAGCTCTGAAACCTGAAGTTGTCCTATTTATGGACAGAATATGTGCAATAAAAGCTGAACCAGACAGAGGCACTCTAATGTCAGAATGACCCATATTATAACGAACGTATCAGTATACCTGTCCTGGCTTCTCTTGACACTTGCAGTGAGACTCCCAGTTGTGGTGTTTTTTTCACTGTGGGGACACACAGTTTCCTGTAAATTTCCAATCCAGAATAAACAGGTAAGGCATCTGGTGTGGATTTAGCTGGTAAACTGGAGGTAATTAGTACCTCCTAGTTCATTACAGAACCACAAGGAAAAATGTTGGCTTAAGTTGTTAAATAAAAATTAAATATTTTATATGAGAAATTTATTTTAATAGAGGTTATTGAAAATAAGCAAAATTTAGTTTTATGGGGACTTTACCCTTAATTTCTACTACGGCTGCCGATTAATCAGTTAACTCTCACGATTAACTTAAAAAAAATTAATAGCGATTAATCGCAGTTTTAATTGCACTGTTAAACAGTAGAATACCAATTGAAATTTATTATATATTTTGGATGTTCTTCTATATTTCATATAGTATTCTGTGTTGTAATTGAAATCAAAGTGTATGTTGTTTTTGATTACAAATATTTGCACTGTAAAAATGATAAACAAAAGAAATAGTATTTTTCAGTTCACCTCCTACAAGTGCTGTAGCGCAATCTTTATTGTGACAGTTCAATTTACAAATGTAGATTTTTTTTTGTGTCTGCGTGTTACATAGCTGCACTCCAAAACAAAACAGTGTAAAACTTCAGAGCCTACACATCCACACAGGCCTACTTCTTGTTCAGCCAATCACTAAGACAGACAAGTTTGTTTACATTTACGGGAGATAATGCTGTCCACTTCTTAATTACAAAAATATCACCTGCAAGTGAGAACAGGCATGGCACTTTTGTAGCAGGCAGTGCCAGATATTTGTGCCAGATACGCTAAACATTCGTTGGCTCCTTCATTCTTTGGCCACCATTCCAGAGGATATGCTTCCATGCTGATGACGCTCATTTTAAAAAAAAGTGTTAATTAAATTTGTGACTGAACTCCTTGAGGGAGAATTATATGTCCCCTGTTCTGTTTTACCCACATCCTGCCATATATATCATGTTATAGCAGTTTGGGATGATGACCCAGCACATGTTCACTTTAAGAACACTTTCACTACAGATTTGACAAAGCGCAAAGAAGGTACCAATGTGAGATTTCTAAAGATAGCTACAGCACTCAATCTAAGGTTTAAGAATCTGAAGTGCCTTCCAAAATCTGAGAGGGATGAGGTATGGAGCATGCTTTCAGAAGTCTTAAAAGAGCAACACTCCAAAGTGGAAAGTACAGAACTTGAACCACCAAAAAAGAAAATCAGCCTTCTGCTGGTGATAATGAAAATGAACATGCATCAGTCTGCAGTGCTTTGGATTGTTATCAAGCAGAACCCGTCATCAGCATGGATGTATGTCCCCTGGAATGATGGTTAAAGCATGAAGGGACATATGACTCTCTAGCGCATCTAGCATGTAAATATCTTGCAACACTGGCTACAACAGTGCTTTGAGAACCCCCATTCTCACTTTCATGTGATGTGAACAAGAATCAGGCAGCATTATCTTCTGCAAATGTAAACAAACTTGTTTGAGTAATTGGCTGAACAAGAAGTAGGACTGAGTGGACTTGTAGGCTCTAAAATTTTAGTTTATTTTTGAATGCTGTTTTTTTTGTACTTCAACCTTCCTGATAAAGAGATTGCACTACAGTACTGGGTAATTGAAAAAAATACTATTTCTTTTGCTTTTAAACAGTGCAAATTCTTGTAATCAAAAATAAAGTGAGGACTGTACACTTTGTAGTCTGTGTTGTAATTGAAATCAATATATTTGAAAATGTAGAAAACATCAAAAAAATTTAAATAAAGGACATTCTATTCTTAACAGTCCGATTAATTGTGATTAATTTTAATTGCTTGACAGCCCTAATTTCTACTTCTAATATTCAAAACAAATAACTGTGAAATATAAACTGTAGTGTCAGTTTTTTATTCTTATTTTGCAAATGCAATCGAAGAATTTAATGAACTAAAACGTAAGGAGATAGAATTCAGAACGAGATTTGCAGGCCAAGGGAGGTGGCTGAGAAGTGGCCCCGGGAACTAGCAAGCCCCATGGACCGTTTAATCATTTTCACGACAATAGCAGGATCTGCAAAGAACTCATTAATGGCACTGCAAGAAGGGAGGCTGAATGGCTAGTGCTTATAAAATAGAGGACGGGGATGGTGTTGTCTTTTCCTCGCCCTGCAGGGCCCCAGCCGAGACTCCGTGCCTCAGTTTCCCCACTTGGAAGAGCGGGACAACGCGCCTCTTTCCCCAGGGGGGTGAGACTGAACAGCGGCACTGCGCGCAGCTGCCAAGTGCTCGTAACCAACAGGACCGTGCCTCCTTGAGGGGCCGGGCCCCGGGAGTCCGCACGTAGCCCCTTTGGTCTCCGGGCCCGGTAGGCTCCGCGGCAGCCGTCTCACGCGTAGGCATCGCTCACCCCGCCGGGCCTAGGGGCTGCCGGGCCGCCGCGCACCGCCCCCCCCCCCAGTTGGCCGCATGCGCGCAGCCTACGCCGCTGGCCGGGCCAACTGCACCGCGGTCACGTCAGTACGTCATCAGGATGCGCTGGGGAGCGGAAGTGACGCGTTTGTTCCGCGCTGGCTGGCGCTGCAGCCTCTCTCCTTAGTCTCCGGCGGCGGGCGGTGCTGGCGGTGAGTGTGGTGCGAGTCGCTTCCCCCGTGTGGGCCCCTGTGTTAGAAGCGGGGCTCGCCCTGGGGCGGGGGGCCCGGAGGGGAGGAGGCGGCTGGGTGTCGGGCGCCCAGGGACTGGTGTGCGGAGGGGGAGCCTGTGGGGACAAGGGAGTCTTGGGGGCTCACGCCGGGGGTCTTAATGTTGGGGTGTCTGAGGGGCGAGGGGACCAGTGAGAGGCGAGGATCAGTAGAGGGGCGAGGTAGCGATTGGGGACCGGTTAACGGGGTGAGGCTGGATGGGAGCGGTGAGGTAGAGGAGCTTAGGGAACTGGTGTGGGGGGCGGGGGTGAGCCGGCGAGTGAGACTGTTGGGAGCATGAGGTGACAGACTGAGAGTGCTGTGTGTTGGGGTAAATCCGCACAGGAGCGTGGGGAGAGACGGGGGACCCTGGTGTTGCACTCAGAATTCGTCAAACCATGTCCCTCTGCATTAGGAAATTGCTTGGGAAGTCCCCAGGAAGGGGTATCTGAAACGTCGCTGTTGGTTGACTTGTGGGTCTTAGTCCTCACTGATAGGGAATCTAGGGTCCAGCAGAACGTAATAAGACACACCTGGGAGTATCCTGCCACTGAAGAAGTTAGGCCAAGAGGATTTAGAAGGCAATAGGGCTTGCATTGCCTACACATTGTTGCTTTTTGTATGTGAATTTAGTATGCTACACATAGTATAAAATCATTGTTTTCAAGAGGGAGGCAACAAATGGCAGGAGGGCAGCATGCATGGAAGGCCAAGCACTGAGGCTTTATTTATAGGGGAAAGTCTTTTGGTATAACCTAAGGTGTGAATATAAATCAATATAATTGTATGGCTATGACCTCCCTTGTGGACATGCTTATTCCAGCTTCTTTGGTATAGCTTAAACTTCTTCCCCGGTGACAAACTAAACCGAAACAGACACTCTTATATCGAAATAGGAGGGTTCATGTGGAGGAACAGGTGTGTTACAACCAGTAACATTTTCCTATGTAGGCAAGGCCTCAAGCAGCTCAGCCCACAAGAGAATCATAGCATGAAGTGGTTGTAATGTTGTTTCCACTACACTTTTACAAAGGAGGAAAAGATTGTCCTTGTTCCTTACCACCTCCGCAGTCATTATATACAGTATAAGTCATTTCTGTCCAGGCAACCTGCAGAGACCCATCCTCTTTCTTTTTCTTGGAAGCCCTTGCTGCCTTACTTCAAAAATGACCCACATTTGAAAAGTATTTGAATATAATACAGTTTAATAAACAACATGCTAAACCAGGATGTCTTCATTCATTTGTCAGAGAGAGTCTCTTTTTTTTTTTTAATCTGTGACCCATTCGGATTAATTGTGGGTCGGATATATACCAGGATTTCTAACAAGGGCTGTTTGAAGAGGCAGAAAATATTTTGACATTTTCTAGCTTCATCTGGCCCATTTTCACTCACCCCACTTGGGGGAAAAAAATATTTTGTGCATATACTATGGTGACAGACATGGATGCGAAAATGTGCACAGCTTTGAAAGAAATTCCCAAAAGGCTCACTTCTGAATTTTTGTGACTATTTCAGCCACTTCTACTAGTGGAACTTTACATATGAAACTAGCTTCTACCCGTGTGTGCCTCTGAAAATTGAAATACAGATTTGAAAACTATGTAAAGATGTGTTTGTACTGTGATTGAATCATTTTTAAAGTAAGTCATGTTTAGCTGAAGACGACCTGCCAAGAGGATTTGACCATGCTTATAAAATGTTTGGGTTTTTTTAAATTTGTACTGTGATTGCTGTCCTTACTAACTACTTTAGTACATTTCAAAAGTTGCGATTCAGACAGGATCTTGTTCACTTTGTAACTGAGGCTTAGTATATGCAGCAAATGAGAATAGTATGAAGTAGGAATAAAAACAGGTTGAAAAGGGCCAAGATTTGTTGCTACTATTAGATGGCCATTATGTTACCTAAATGAAATTGATTAGTGGGTCTTAGTCCAGCTCTTGGTATGTGCCCACTGCTAGTACTGACATATTTGTTGATAGTCTTAGCAAAGAGGCTGAGCATTTAATGGGACTGAAGAGACAGAATTATCCTTTTAATTTAAGGATATGGTTTCTGGTCAAACCCAAGGTATGTAATTGAGGGATAGCCTTGCTATGTCTGTAATGTTGGATTAATAGAAAACTAGGATTATCAGTCTAGCCTTCTTGACTACCATCAAATTAATTTTGAAAAAAGCAGAAAGAGCGGAGTTTTTTGCCAAACGAAAATGTGGTATATGAACTGCAGTGGAAGGACTGTGTGCTGGTGACAGAGCAGTAGCAGCTTGAGGACAGATCCTTCATAAATAATTGTGCAACCACAGAAAATTACCTTTTCCCACATCCTCACAGTGCTAAAGTAATAAGTCATAAGACTAGTACATTTAGGTGTCTTTGGATCATCATGACTGGCAAAATATGAGGCACTATTGCAGAAGTTGCACTGATTTAACTTAAGTTGGTCTTTAAACCAATTTAATTAAACTGTTGCACAAACAGTGTGAATACTCTGATTTGAAACCAAGCTTATTTTGGTATAGCTTAAGTCAAATGCGAACTGACTTCCCTTTACATAAGGTTCCGTGAAACTTGGCACATCATATCATTTTTAAATGTTTATTTGTATATCAAAAGTTCCTTTAAAACTTACCTAAAACATTGATATATGCAATGCTATTGGTTACATTATATTTCAAATATATCTACCTCCATTAATGTGGTGTTCTGTTTCAGTTTGTTCTGACTCAAATGGGTGATGAAAAGGACTCTTGGAAAGTGAAAACTTTAGATGAAATTCTTCAGGAAAAAAAACGAAGGAAGGAGCAAGAAGAGAAGGCAGAGATAAAACGCATTAAAAATGTAAGCTGTCTCTTTGTAAAGAAATAGTTCTAATTAAAGTGAGGAGGTTTAATTTTTTTCCCCTCATTTTTCCATTAGAACAAGGCTTCCTCTATCACTATCAATGAAGTTCTTTTGTACTTCCATATTTAACAGGTGAGCACTATCTCTCAGTGTCAAAGCTTACCAAAATGTTGTGCTTTGTTAAAACCTGATTGGTAACACACTAGATCTTTTACTTTGCTTCACAGTTGTTGAAAAGTCTGTCTGAGAAATCAGCCTGGTTAATTGGAAGTGTTAGTTGCAGTATAATTAGACTATTTTGGCCTTTTTGAAATTTTATAGTGCTCCTGTTTTTAAACCTGTTCCTGACTGCAGCAGAAAAAATGTTGGGCCCATTTTGTCAAATGATTAAATTTTTTTTGGCCCTAAATAACTTTTGCTTATTCTAATCCAAAAGGGTTGTTACAGGTGTCATTACCACTTGTTTGTAGTATTTGTTGAAAGATTTTGTCTTTAAAAAACTACCATAAATTAGCAAAGTCTTTGAGTTTTTGCAGGTTAGTTTTACTTAAGTAGACTGAATTTATATTGTTTCAGATATTACAACGTATTAACTACATTTGACTGCGTGACAGCTATAATTAAAATCTGTACATAAACCACTGATTTGTGTTGAGTATCCTATAGATCATTTCGCTTTACTGCCAGCAGCGGAGTTAAACATCAGTTTAAAAAAATACAGCTCACTGCAAGAGAAATTAACTGCAATTTGTTTTTATCCTTCCTTCCCCCTTCCACCATAGTCTGATGATCGGGATTCAAAGCGGGATTCCCTTGAAGAGGGGGAGCTGAGAGATCACCGTATGGAGATAACAATCAGGAATTCACCTTACAGGAGAGAAGATTCTATGGAAGATAGGTAAGAATAGAGGAAGAAAATGCTTCTGGATGTGGACATTGCCTTAAAAGCAATAAAATCTAAATGTTCTCTGTGTGTTGTGGTTAAAGCAGGTTTGCTGGGGTTTTTTTGATACTTACCCTGAGTCACTGAGATTCTTATATCTTAGTTTACCCATCTATTAAAAACAATTTAATAATACCTACCTCCCTTACAAGAGGTTGTGAGGGATTAGTAATGTTGGTAGCATGCTCCAAACTCCTCAGATGAAAGGTGCTATTGAAGTGCTAAATATTGTTAGATTAAATACTTATTCCTTCTCACAAAGGGTGGAAAAGGAGCAACAATTCATACTTATTATAAATTACCTATTACTTTCCTGTGCTTATTCATATAAATTGCATTTTAGAGGAGAGGAGGATGATTCCTTGGCTATCAAACCACCACAGCAGATGTCACGGAAGGAAAAAGCACATCACAGGAAAGATGAGAAGAGGAAAGAGAAACGTAGACATCGTAGTCATTCAGCAGAAGGAGGTATTGTAGCTGTTATTACTTAACATTTATATTGCGCTAGCTCTTTGAGGTCAAGTTGACTGGGGCACATTGTGTAAGGCACCGTACAGCCATAGTAAACGTCAGTTGCTTGCCCCAAAGAGTTAGAGAAGATATAACAGGTGGATAGATTAGGGAGCCGGGGTGGAGGAAATGGAGTAAAAAATTCTGAAAAAGAAATGTGAAATTCATAGGAATTCTTGCTTAATAGTTTTGTCTGACTCCTTCATTTCTTCTGTTAAGCGGTTCGTGTGCGTATGTTTGGTTCCCCACTCACCACTTTTCGACAGGGACCTTTAGTCTGATCCTGCTGCCTTTGAAGTCCATGTTAAAACTTCCAAGGACTCCAGCGGTGCAGGATTGAGCCCTTTGTCTTTATACCTATCCGTCAAGCTCCTAAAATGCTGTTGCTGTAAAGTCATAAATAATAATAAACCTTGCTTTCCTGTTATTGGTCAACTTTATATTTTTAACATTGAGTATGGTACATGCAAGTTTTTATTATCATTTAATTTTATTTACAACACAGTCCTAAGTCAGGATTTTGCTAGTACATACTAAGACCAGAACAACAAAGCCCATGAAATTAGTGCTTTACCCTGGTTTGTTCTTTTGATTTTGAAGAATAGGAACATCTTGACTATAACAATCCAGCATTTATTTTTATCTTTATTATTAGGGAAGCATGCCAGGGTAAAAGAGAAGGAACGTGAGCATGAACGTAGGAAAAGACATCGAGAAGAGCAGGATAAGGCTCGACGTGAATGGGAAAGGCAGAAGAGGAGGGAAATGGCTAGGGAGCATTCCAGGAGGGAGAGGTAAAAAAACGAACCTTACTCTGCAACACCCAAAGAAATTCAATTAGATTAAAATTTAGTGCAATCTGATGACAGTGCCATTACCCCCATGAACATGCGGTGTAATAAGAGGCTGGGATCTCACCTGCATATAAGCACTTTTTGAAGTGATTTCATTACCGGATATCTTTCTAACACTAAAGACTCTGTTTGCTGCTATTGTGCCGTAATAATTGGTGAACAAGTCAGTTCTGTAGAATACAGTGGGCTTCCAAGGCTCATTTAAAAAAATCAGCTTTTTAAGCCTGCTTATTTTTTATTTAAATTCCGACAGACTGCAGAACCTTATTTTAAGTTGGTCCCAACACTCTGTGCCAACTGATAAAGAAAGGCAGACTAGAGCAAATCTGTTATAAAAGATTAATGTCTGCCTCTGTAAAGGGCTGCTTGGGCAAATGCACAATGATATCACAATTTTGTTGCTAGTTGGCACTGAAATTGAATAATTTAGTAGTCTATTATTGCAATAGTAACAGCTTTAGATTACAAAAACAAAAGCCCAGACTTCACTTATATAAAATAGGCAAATGAATGTTTCCAGGGATCGTCTAGAGCAGCTTGAGCGAAAACGAGAACGGGAGAGAAAAATGCGAGAGCAACAAAAAGAGCAAAGGGAACTAAAAGAACGGGAAAGGCGAGCTGAAGAAAGGCGCAAGGAACGGGAGGCCAGACGAGAAGGTAACTAGTTCAGTGTAAACAGTATAAGGGGGTGTGTTAAATGGAACAACAGTGGAATTTAGATAAAACAAACATCTTTTATATAGGCCATTGCCAGGGTTTTATTTAAAAAGAGAGAGAGAGAGTCTGGCTTCTTTATTAGTCATGGACAAGAGGACAAAATCACACAGGGGGATAAAGAATGCAAAGTCTTTGAGCTTGTATAGCTTGTTCTGTACTGTGGAACTCAGACCTATTGGTATTGAAGCAGGTCATTAGTCAGTTTTCAGTAGACATGGTATCCTTTGCTTACCTTTTCTTTATTTACGTACAAGATAAACGTTTTACTGGTCACTGATTTCCACTTACAGTGTTCAAACTGGACCTGAAATGTTTCCAGTTTGCAGAATATTTTACGTCCCTTGCATCATACATTTAGGTGACGATTAAAATGAGGGATTTTTGATGTTTGTGTGTTTTTGATTTGTGCCTAGATCGAGGCACCAGAGAAAATAAGGACACTCCCCATTTGTGTTTTATCTAGGATGCCAGTATTACCTTTAATTATGACTCTTGTTTTGTAATCAGTTCTCATGCTGTTAGTCTCTCATTTGCACTTTGTACTAAGCTGAGGGGGACTGTAGCCGTTTAAGAACTTGAGGAAATTAAACATGGTATAGAACTTTCTGTTGCCAATGTGAGAGAGAATGGCTGGCTTAGCATACACACAAACATTGCAGCATTGTTAACTGTATAGAGTAAGCATTTTAATAGAGGTTTGCATTTTAATAGGTTTTCCGATGTCCCTTTATTTGGTGCTTCTGAAAGTGAGACTAGAACCAGGAAAATTGCAGGGAAACGTTATGCAAGTGTCCCTTACATGCATCTTTGCCACTGCATCTCAGTCCTCAGCTGCAGCACCCTTGCTATTTCAGTCCTGGACCTTAGGCTGACTGCCATGTATGCCAAATTGTGTGGTAGCTGTATGATGAGAGGCATTGTGGTATAGTGGATAGAGCACTAGACCGGAATTTGAGGGAACCTGGATTCTGTTCCTAGGTCTGCTACTAGCTGATCTTGGAAAAGGTCACTTCATCTCTATACCTCAGTTTCCGCACCTGGAAAATGGGGATAATGACATTTACCTGCTTTGACTTCTGCATGGTTCAGATATACTTAAAAGGGTATTGTCAGGTACTTTCTCTCTTTAGGTTTATATACTGTGCCCATCACTGGGATACCGGAGAGTCTTCGAATTAATAGAAATGTTTTTGAGATTTTGAAAAAAAAAACAAAAAAATTTATTTAAGCATTCCCTTAAACTTCATGAGAACTAGTAAATGAAATTTACTATATACAAATTAGTCTAGCTTAAATGTTTACATTGAATAAAATACAGAAAGCAAACACTAAATAATAAATAGTTAATTCAATTTTGCAAAATATTTCAATTTCAATAATATAAGGTGCTCTAGTAACTAGAAGTTAGGAATTGCCTAGACAGTATGACGACTGTGGCATTAAAATGCCTATATAGATTCCACTATGGTGGTCAAAGATTGATCTACCTAAAGCCATCTCTCGAGAGGTTGCAATTGATGCACTGTACTTTTTATGTTTCTTATTTCAGAGTAACAGCCGTGTTAGTCTGTATTCGCAAAAAGAAAAGGAGTACTTGTGGCACCTTAGAGACTAACCAATTTATTTGAGCATGAGCTTTCGTGAGCTACAGCTACTTCATCGGATGCATACCGTGGAAACTGCAGCAGACTTTATATACACACAGAGAACATCTCTGTGTGTATATAAAGTCTGCTGCAGTTTCCACGGTATGCATCCGATGAAGTAGCTGTAGCTCACGAAAGCTCATGCTCAAATAAATTGGTTAGTCTCTAAGGTGCCACAAGTACTCCTTTTCTTTATGTTTCTTATGAGGCTTCCCTATGAAGTAATATATTAAATTTATGTGGCGCCTTCTGTCCCCAGTCCACACACTGTTTATAAAACTTAAACAATGCACAAGGGTCACGTCATCCACCTCTGAAACATAGCTACCACTAGGGTGAAATGTGGCAGCTTTTGGACAGCTCAGAGCAATTCAGGACATGAAGTGAAGAGGATATTCATAGTCACTTGAAACTTCAGGGGGAATGTGTACAGGAAGAATGTAGTTACAGAAAGGAGTTTGGCCAAATCAATGGAAAAACGAGTTATAAGAATGTGGGAATCGACATATAAACCTTTTTACCAAAAGGTGAAAAAAATAGTATAGTTGTGCAAATATTGGTGTATGAATGTTGTAGAAAGGAAATGGAAGGGAAAATACTCTGTATCTTTCATTACTCTCTTTGGAAGACTATTCCATAGTCCTGTAGGTCTCACTTTCTGAAATTTTTTCCAAATATTTGGCCTAAAATATTTCTTAATTTCATCCCTTTTACTCTTTACTTGTACTCTCTTTCATCATGCTAAACAATTCCTTTCTCTTCTTGATATTTACACCTTTTGAGTATTCATTGACAATTATCGAGTCTTCCAACTTAGTCATTGCTTAGCCATTTTCACCTTATTTAGTGTTTGATGTTTCCTCCTGAATCAATCCCTCCTGCCTCTTAACTTTTTAATTCTTTTCTGCACCTCCCTCAGTTTGTCTACTTTGTTGTGGTAATGAGCGCTCTGAAATGAATGCAGTATTGCAGATGTGGTCTCGGAGAGTGGTAAAGACAGGGATTCTCACCTCCTGCCGCTAAGTTATGATGCCTCAGTAGATGTAGCCCACATATGTATTAATTTTTTTTTTTTTTTTTTTACTGCTACATTCCATTTTAGAAGGGCACAGTGAGTCCTTATCCAGATCATTAGCTATCACCAAAGTCTCTCTCTTTTTTCTTTTTCTTTTCTTTTTTTCTTTTTGGGAGGTGCAGTTAGGGTTCTTTTCCTTTTAAAAAAGAAACAAAAATTGAGCCTGAGACAGCTTGCCATGGAAGAGGAGAACCTTTGTAATTAGGAGCAGGAAAATGTAACGCCTTTTGGGTTTCTGTTTTTGTTTCTTCACTAGTTTCTGCACATCATAGAACAGTGAGGGAAGATTATGGAGACAAAGTAAAAATAAGAACCTGGAGTCGCAGCCCATTACGACAGCAAAGAGAGAAGCTTGAGCAAGGAGATGGCAGGAAGCCAGGTAGTGTTTGCACTTGGTAATATGCCATTGCATGACCATCAAAAGGACTTGCTGGGGGAAAAAGATGGGGGAAGCTTTATTTTGACTGCTAGAAGGAATTCCATGATACTTTCTTGAAAGTATCATTCAGTTTGAGGGACAAATGGTGGCATGGTACCAAAGTATGGATGAGGAATGGCAAATAAACTATTATCTGGATGATTTGCTGATGTTTGCAGGGACCCCATATAATATGCTGTTAAACTCAATCATTCTTTTCTTTTTAGTAATAACAAGTCTTGAGAAATGCTCACTAATTTCACTAAACATTTATTATGCCCTTGTCTAACTAGAGGGTGTATTTTCCACTGAGCTTTGGTGCATTGACTGTTGCGTAATAGGTATTTCACCGTAATTGTATTCATACATCCAGCTGTTTACTACGTCAATTTAAATCATTATGTCCACATGGCAGGGATTTTTCTTCATAGTAAGCGTGTGCATTGTGGGAGGGTATCCCATGGTGCTTTGCCTTGCTGGGCTTTCTACATTCTGGGACTTCCCTCGCAGCTCATTGTATGTTACATAGCAGAAGCAACTGGAATTCTGGGACATGAAGTCAAACTCACAAATTCCCATGATCAGTCCTGCCATCCCATGATTCATTTTTTTTTTGTGAGCCAGCCCTATTTTCAGATTGCTGTCAGCCAGCATGAACAGAACTGTGCTCCATATCGCAATGCTGACAACAGCAGGTATGCAGAAGGAGATGGAGATGTATTTGAGATCTTGCTGCCAGGTGGCTTTTGCTTTGGAAGTCAGCTGTTGCACCTCAGCTATTGGCTGGTAGCAAGCAAGGATGGCAAGCGTCCAAGTGGCAATGACCACATAATACTGAACACTTAAGGGAGCTCTCATGTTGGTGCGCTGCAGCTTTGGGATGAGCTTTGTGCAAATCTCTAGTGAAAGTGGCCTTTGTCATCCTAAAATTAAGCAGCTACTGCTGGTCATTCCAGGTTTACAGAATGTTTCCCACTAGACAATGCTTCTTACCTGAGGCCAGAAATGGTGCTGCACTGAATGAAGCTGCTCCAAGAAAAGTTCATCCCTAAGCAGCTCCTTGATCTCCTCTTCTGGTATCTCTTCCAGGAAGCTCTCAAGAAGTTTCTGGACACTGACTCTTTTGCCCTGCATTTCTTCCCCCTCAGGTTAGCCAGACACTCAGATGCTGATAATAGTCCTATCCTTGAGAAGCCTGGCACTTGAAGGAACTGGATGGGGGAGGAGGGGCTGATAAAATTAGAGTTGTGGTTCCTAGTTCGGTCTCTCTGGTGGCAATGATAAAATATTTTCCGCTCTATTTTGAAAGGCCATCCTCCTAGTTTTTTCCTAGTCGCGGGAGAGGCTTGTGATGGTAACTTGTTTTCCACCTTACTTCCCCTGTGCCTACGGACCTTGTTGCAATGAACTGTGTTTTGCTTCTAGGATGTTTTGAGGAGTGGGAGACTATTCTTGTTTGGACAGCATGGTTTGGTGGTATGTGCTATTACTTAAATGGTGTAGAGGGTTTTGGGGACAGAGGTGGGGGATGCAGGTTAGTAACTGCATCTGCACCTCTTTAGGCATTCCTTACGTTGGAGGACGTTACGCTGATAGAGGTGACCAAGAAGCAGAGAAGGCCCTTTTTCGAAAAAGATAAGGGCAGACCAGACAGATATGCATACGTGGTATTCATCAGAATGGTTCCCTCTCCAGAGTTGCTGCAGGAATTGAAGGGCATTGTAACCTATGCTGGTAGCAACTACCAAAATATTGCAATGTTTGTGCCAAATTAGAGCACTTTTTTGCCGATTTTATCTCCCCAGCAAACATGCATCACATCTGCTGTAAAATAAATACAGTTCTGCAGTGATTGTTCTTGACCTTGAGGGTTAAAAATGTTGTCTGTGCTATGAAATATACTTCAACTTGACTTATGCTATAGAACAGGGGTTCTCAAACTGGGGTTTATTACCTGGGGCAGCTGTCAGCCTCCACCCCAAACCCCGCTTCGCCTCCAGCATTTATAATAGTGTTATAAATTAAAACCACTTTCTTATATATTTAAGGGGGGTCGCACTCAGAGGCTTTCCATATGAAAGGGGTCACCAGTACAAAAGTTTGAGAACCGCTGCTATATAACAATGTTGCCTATGCTTGAATGCCTTAGTCTCTTGACATTGGTGAGTGACCGCTGACTCTTTTTCTTACATTTGTATCTTAATTCCCTCCCAAACTGAAAAACCACCATTTGTATTATCCCCTTGAATACTCTTAGAGGAGAAAGGAGCTAACCATTGAATAATTAAGCTTATTAAGCTTAATTCGACTCTTCAGAAACTGCAGTATAGTTTAAATATTACTACGATTCTCATCCTGTACAAGAAAGAAAGCACTTCAGGTAATATTCTGGCTTGGAAAGTTCAATTTGGCTCCCAAGCCATAAAAATAGCTCTTTGGGTTTCCACATTCTTAGAGACTCTGATTATTAATGGAAAATTTTCAGGAATTGAAATAACCACATCCTCTGGTTAAAGTTCAGTTGTGTTTTTATTTTGTTGTAAACCTGAAAAATGATTGTAGTCACTGAACGTGTTACTGTGAATAGTCAGAAGTGCTGCTGATCTTCGTGTTTGTATTTGTGAAATTGTGCTCTAAGGGTACTTTATTTACAGAATTAACTACCAAATTGTGCGTTCCTCACAATTCATGTAGTGGGGTTTATTAATAACTCGGTGCACTTTAAAAAAAAAAATAAAAAAGTCCAACTCTTCCACTGTTGATCCTGCTGCACTGCAGTTCTTAAAGTTACGTATCATTGAAAGCAACAGTATGTGACGCTATACCAAGTACATTCAATAGCCCAGCAGGTACATTCTGCTGGACATGACTGAAATATTTGGCCAGGGTTTAAAGAAGAAGAAAATCTAGGGTTCTCGTGTGTTCAGCACTTGATAAAGTAGAGGTAATGCTTAGAAACTGGTCTGTTTTTTTGCTTCTCAGTAAAAGAGGAGAAAACAGAAGAAAGAGACCTGCTTTCGGATTTGCAAGACATCAGTGACAGTGAGAGAAAAACTAGCTCAGCAGAGTCTTCGTCAGGAGGTAATTACACACAATCAAATACATAGAATTTACCCTAGGAAATAATCATATTTATGAGAAGATCCTTCACATGAGGGTGCACCTAGTTACTTTTGTGTTCTCTGCTTATCCCCTGACAGAATCTGGATCTGGTTCAGAGGAAGAGGAGGAGGAATCTAGCAGTGGAGAATCGGAAGAGGAGGAGGAGGAAGAAGAGGAGGAGGAGGAAGAAGAGGAGGAGGAGGAGGAGGAGGAAGAGGAGACAGGAAGCAATTCTGAGGAAGTGTCTGAACAGTCAGCTGGTAAGTGGTAAAACATGACCACAAAAATGCTCACCCAAAGCACTTTTGTGCTTACAGTTTTACGTTGCCCACTTTCTTTTTTTCCTTGGTCACAGATAAGATAGAAACCTAAAACTTGTGAGGACAAGTAATATATTAGCCTTTCTGTATGAGGGCATATTCAAGTTATCAATCTAAGAAGCCAAGATGGACAGTTCCGGTGATATTTTTGTCTTTATAAGAGAGGTGTTGAAAGCCTCATCATTTGACTACTTTTAAAACCATGTTGGACACTAGCAAATGTTCTATAGGGAACAGTCTTATTCTAGCCTGTGGGATGGACTAGAGAAGTCTGTACCATCTCTAATTATTTTCTGCTTGAAATTTTATTAGATTTTTTTCATTTTTGAAAGAACAAATGGAAATAATACAAAAGAAATTAACTAAGCAAATCTAGTAATTGCTATCTGTGTGTCATTAATCAGTAAACAAAAAATGAGCACAACAATGTGGGCCTGACTGCTGGATGTTTTTCTATTAAATCGGTGAAAAGTAACCACCAAATTTTAAGAAGTTTTATAAGAGTTATTTGAATTTCTCTGTCACCAATAATTTCTAAATTTTTAAGCTAAGTTGATGTCACTGGACTAACTTTCTTCCTTCCTGTGACTGCAACATAACTTCTGACTGTCACTAATCATGGGGCTATAAATCATTTGTTTCAGGTGTCATTGATTTTCTTGTGGGAGTCCTCACAATAGAGCCCTAAATCACAGTCAGTAACACTTTAACTTGCTTGCATATTTGTTTCCAAAACTTCCATTTTAGGGCACAAATAGCAAATATATAGATATGAAATTTCTTCATGCACCACATTTTCACCAAAAGTCAAGGGTTTTTAAAACCTATTTTCAAAGCTACATTATAAGCTTATAATGTAAAATTGAAGAAAATAAGCAGAAACAGCAGCCACCAATGTTAGTGTTTCCTGGCTCACTTAATGTAGTTCAGCTCTGTGTCAGTCAGAGAAACTCTGCCTATCAAGTGAAACAGAGGTACTGGGTTACTAACAGTAGATAGTGAGCAGGACCTGTAAAACTGCTGAAATGGCATTACTCCAGTGGTCGCCAAACTTTTGAGGGTTGTGTCCCCCCCCCCTTACCCCTGTCCTCACCCTGCCCCCTGAACTGGGGGCAGGGCCATGGCTTGGGAGGGCAGGAATGTGGACAGGATTAAGGGGGCCAAGGCTGGAGCCACAGCTGCAGGTGGGTCCGGGACCAGGAGCAGAGCCGCAGCTGGGCTGCGGTGGGGGCTGGCAGCTGCACCCATGGCTGCGTGTGGCTCCATTCCCAGCCCTGACCCCCAGTCTTGGCCTCGAGCCAAGAATGGAGCTGGTGCCCAGGGTCAAGGCTGGGGGCGGGGCCAGGAGCAGCACTGCAGCCGGGCCTGCAGCTGGGGGCGGAGCCACGCTCAGGCTGGGAACATGGCCAGGTGTGAGGCCAGGAGCTGTGGCTGGGGGCAGGGCCAGAGCACAGCTGGGGTGGGACTGGGTGGCTCTCCCTCCCCATCCCCCATGGGGGCTGGCCTGGGTCTGCTGCACCCCCCTCGAACTTTACTCCATGTCCCGCTAGGGGGGGTGCATCCCACAGTTTGGGGACCTCTACATTACTCTGTAACACTTGTATTGCTATTTCACTGTATTAAGCATCTATGTACATGAAATCAGAATGATATTAAGCTTTTTCTGTTGGACTGCATTCTGTTTTTTAGAAGAGGTGAGTGAAGAAGAAATGAGTGAAGAAGAAGAGCGAGAGAATGGAAATCACATTCCAGTTGGTAAGATACAAACATTGGCTTTAGCTGTAGCAGTTTTTTCCTTTTCTGTTTCATGAACTATGGATTTTAATGCACTGTCTAGAATGTGAAAGGGTTTCAAGATATTCAAGCCTACCAGGACTTGATTATGAAAAGTAGGCTTGTATAAGAAATCCTGTTGGTGGATGGGGGCGGATATTACTTCTGCAGGTCTAAGTTGAAATCTTGCATAAAATGAGCTTGGCTTTTTGAAATCAACTTGCTAGTGGATTTTCATCAGTAGTATAATCCACCACACCATTTGGTACTGTGGGTCATCTGTACTCAAGAGTAGACACATCCTGGATCAGAACTTCCCCAAAGTCTGGGTGAGAGTTCTGATCCAAGGGCTTTTTGTTGGCCTATTGTAAGAGTCAGAGAAGCTTGGATCTGAACTTACCTAATGTTCTAGCTGTGATTTTGAATCGGGCCCATCCTCTTGGTAGTCAGAATTGCACTATATGATGTGTCAGATTAAAGTTGAATCAGTCTTTGCATACTGTTCATATACTGATTTAGTTTTTATAAAGTGCAATATTTAACCCTGAAAATGTATTCAAGGAACTATACTTGAACCTCATGAAATACTCCCCAAACATAGAAAAAAGAATCATGCTTCTTTAAATACCTTCCTTGTCATCTCTTAACAGGACACTCAAATTGCGTGCCACGCTCTTTAGTATCTCAATTTTATGATCACAATTTTATTCCCTCACAAGTTTGTCTAAAACTAATTCAAACATCCCAAATGGCTGCCTGTTTCCACGACTGATTCTAAATTTTAAAGTTACAGAGTCAAGGTTTGATCGAGATTCAGCAGGAAGTGAAGGAGAAGAGGAGGAAGTGGGGGAGGGGACCCCACATTCCAATACAATGACAGAAGGAGATTATGTTCCTGATTCTCCAGCTTCATCACCCACTGAGTTGAAACAAGAGCTACCCAAGTACCTTCCTGCGCTGCAGGTGAGGATCATTTCACAAGTGCTCCAGAATGTCTTAGATGGGATTTCCATGAATAGTGACATAAAATGATATATGTACTCTCAAGAGCATCTTGGATATAAAACAGTATTATGTCATATTGTCCAGTGCATTTGCCCAATGTCAGATTCATTATGTGCATAAACCGTGGTGGGGTCAACCAAAAGCATCTTGTGGTGTCAAGTGAGCCCAGGCATATATTCCATCAATCAAATATTCACATACAATATTTTTAAAAGTTGTGTGTGAAAACAAGTTCAAACTTTTAGTTTTTAAAAAGGATATAATACATTGGGATATTGTGATATTCTGGTGACCCCATCTGAAAATAGTTACTGCAGGTATAGGCAGGTTCACAAGTAATATAAATGTTTATTGGAATGGAAAGATGTCCCTATGAGGAGAGTGAAAAGTTTTTAGTTTATAGAGGAGATGAATAAGCAGGGAACTGAGAAGGTGAGCAAAATAAGTTGTTGTTTGTTATCATAGCACGTAGGAACCCTAGTCACGGACCTGAATCCCAAGGTGCTCAGCACCGTACAAGTGCAGAAAAAAGACAGCCCTTGCCCCCAAAAGCTTATAAAACAAATAGTTGTCATTCCTGCTTTTTTTCACATAATAGAAAAAGAATGTTCAATGAAACTGAAAGACAATAAATTTAAAACAGATGAAAGGAAATATTTGTACACAACACCTACTTAGCCAGTGGAACTCATTCCCAGAAGATATCCATAAAGGCAACAGTTTAATAGGATTAAAAAAAAGGACTGAGCATTTATATGGATAATGAGAACATCCACAGGTACATTAGATAGAATAAAAAAGTGTAAGAAATATAAACTCATGTTTCAGGGCATAAACAAAAGCTCCAACTGATTGAGATTCAGGAAAAAACTTCCCCGTGGACAGTTCTTTATGTGTTTTTTTTTTTTGTGTGTGTAAGCACCTTTCTCTGAAGCAACTTGTACTAGCCACTTCCAGACACAGAATAGTGGACTAGATAGAGCTCCTCCTCAGATCAGTATTGCAATGTCGTGTGCTAGGGCAGCAACATAGGAACTAATATAGATGCAGAATACTGAGATACACACGTGTATTATGTATAACTGAGCGTTTGCTCTAGATAAATCTTTGTATGTTTTACTTTTACATTTACACTAAAGTAAAATGGGAAGTAATTTGTGTATTTAATATGTATGTTATGCCACCTTTATTTTAACAAGAGGAAGTATCTATATCCGTGTTTCTCAGCCTTTTTGATACCGGGGACCGGCTTGCTGCCTTCCTAAACTGTGTCAGGTGGATCTCAGGGATCAGTGCCGGGCTGGGTGTTGAGAAACACTGATCTAGACAGTCAAGATTGATGTGATCCTATCTCTTTTTGCTGTCAATGGCTAGGATCAGCACATGCTTAGGGAATGCAAATGCAGCTCATTGGCCTGCCTGAGACACATCAGTCTAAGGTGTGGAGCTAGTTCCTCTGCTGCTGAGACTGAAATCCTCATTTCTTCAGGATCTGTAGAAAGCTATTGAGGTGGAGAGCTATTGAGGTGGAGTATTTTAAATACTTCTTTAAACATAGTTTTTGTTCCTGAGAGGACACTTTCTTAGAGTACTAGGTAAAAATGCTTTGGAACAAAATATAGTTTTCCTGGGCATAGATCTATTTTATATTCTTCTGGGATAACAAACTGTTCATATAAAGTCAGCCATACTGTGTCTTATATGTCTTTAAAAAGGTAAATCCTACAGACTAATTTTCTGTTTGTTTTCTCAGGGATGTCGTAGCGTGGAGGAATTTCAGTGTTTGAACAGGATTGAAGAAGGAACATATGGTGTGGTATACAGGGCAAAAGACAAAAAAACTGGTTGGTACAAGTGTGCCTGTTTAAAACAGTGCTAAAAATGTTGGTTTCATTAAGTGGACTCATAATTTTTTCACAACACTTATTAAGCATTAAGGGCAAAGTGTTATGTAATATTAAAAAAACCTAAGTGACCTATCTTAGGGCTACACCTCTTGGTGATCTACAGGGAAGCTGTATGTTTTAGGGATCTGCAGTTTGGAAAACAAACACCTGTGCTTGTGTTACTAATTATTTTGAATATTCTCTTGCATGCAACCTAAGCACTTCGTGCTCTCCCTGTTTTGTACTGTGGGTGCTGAAATTCTTCTGGAAGTCTTTTTTCTTCAAAACAATATTAACCTTCCCCATTACTATCAACATGATGTTACATGCCAGTGTTAGTGCAGTGGACAATTTAAACATTAAGACGATGGTAACAATATGAATGAAATGTAACAACAGTACTTGTACAGTGGGTAATGCCGTATACAGTGTTAAACAGAAGGAGTCCAAAGTTGGATGTCATGTTGTCATGTTAAGAACTTGTGCTGGCCTGTTAGATATTCTGAGTGCTTGGCATGGGATCTGCACTAAGCTCTGAACTCTGAGGAGGGTGTCATTCAATATAGGAAAAAAGTTATTGAGTCTTTTGTAGAAGGTAAATTTGAAGTTAAGTATAAACATTGTGCAAACTTAATGTAATAATACTTTGCATTTCTGTAGAGTCTTTTATCCCAGGACCTAAAAGTGTTGAAAAAATGTGAAAGAATTAAGCTGTACAATAACTCTGTAAGGAACATAACAGGAAGTCTGCAGTAGAGCTGGAAATATAACCCAGATTTCTTAGCTCTCAGTCCTGATCTTTAACCACAAGACCAATCTATCTCTTCTTGTATCAAATGTTCTAATATAATGAAGTGGGAGAATAGCTGGATAAGTGTGTGCTTTAACCTACTCTGTTCTTGGATTTGATTATGTTAACCATTGTAGAGTTATGGTCTAAGGCAAAATCATTTTCTAAATCCTCCACTGAAAAGAAAAGACTGTTTAAAATATTATTTTTAGCTATTATTGCTCTTTATTATGAGTGACTCCTTCCCCTCAGTGTGGTGTGCATTTGAAATAAGATTCTTTTGAAGATATTGTGTCTTTTTATTAGACATAGTCATGTAGAAATTGTTAACAAAAGTTGGATTTTTAGCCCTATAGGTAGAGATTTCCTGCTTCCGAGCTACTAGATTTAGTTGAGCATAGCAGGGTGATCTGCCAATTGATTAGATGTAGACACACCAATAGGTGTCATTATAGGTGTGGAAAATGATTTAAATGGTTTTATAAAAGAAGTGGTTTGTGTGTGGTGGGCATTCTTTACAGAAATTTGTGGTTAGCTCACTTTTATTGTTTGCTTTGAAGTCCATCTTTAATTCTTGTTTGAAGGAAACTAAAGTTGTTTTAATTAGTAGTTAAAAAGCTCACATGCTGAGAAACACTTCTCACCAGGTATAAACTGTGGTGTGTATTTGAAAACTTACTAAATAAATCCAGGTTTTTGAACTTGCTTCTGGTGGTAGCTGTCCTGCTGAAAAGTTATCCCATTTGATACCAGAAGTGCAAAAGCCAAATGTAAGCTAATTTGCACACACACACCCTTTTTTTTAGTGATTTATCAACTGGAAGAAGGATCTAATTTAACCCTGTAATAACATATGTAGTGTTAGTACTGTGTCACTTCTTCTTTTCATTGTGCACAGCAGCCGACACAGCAAGATGCAAACTGTTTTATCATCTCTGATACGATTCCCCCTATTGCTGCTGTCACAAATAATACATTGCTTTCCTGCAAGCTGGCTGTTTTCACCAGAAGGCTCATATATAGATATATAAATTTAAAATTTATATGTGTTAAAATATATCTGACAGGTGGTAAAAAACAAAAAACAAACCCTGTCATTTGTAAACTTTTATCGTGTTGAGCAAAACGAGCGATTTGTTAAGAGGAGGTTTGCTCTGATATTTAGATCAGAAGACTTGGAGACAGGACTTATGGTTGTTCCCAGTTCTAACACTCACTTGCTGTAACTTAAACTTTCAATTCCTCCATCTACAAGTTTGGGGTAATACCATCCTTACAGAGTGAGAATTCATTGTTTTTTTTAAGTGTTTTAAAATCCTCTATGAAAAGGAATTATACAAATGGAAAGTATTATTTTCTTTCAATTCATTGCTTGTATTATATAGCTACAGTGGCCACTTCCTTCTCTAGCCTACCTGGCATGTAGCCTTCCTCTGAGGCTGACATTAACATTACTCTCTGAAATGGTTTACAAAAGGAGAGGTACCATTGTCTGCTTGACTGTAAGTGCTCACTCACTTCCGGGTCTATGCAAGTCACCACCGCAACACGCCAAAGATATCTTTGATCGCTGTAATTGACATATATAATAAATAGGGGTACTTTAATATCTAATAAAAAGAAAAGGAGTACTTGTGGCACCTTAGAGACTAACCAATTTATTTGAGCATGAGCTTTCGTGAGCTACAGCTCACTTCATCAGATGTTTACCGTGGAAACTGCAGCAGACTTTATATACACACAGAGAATATGAAACAATACCTCCTCCCACCCCACTGTCCTGCTGGTAATAGCTTATCTAAAATGATCAACAGGTGGGCCATTTCCAGCACAAATCCAGGTTTTCTCACCCTCCACCCCCCCACACAAATTCACTCTCCTGCTGGTGCTAGCCCATCCAAAGTGACAACTCTTTACATAATCAAGTCGGGCTATTGCCTGCATAGATCAAGGTTTTCTCACATCCCCCCCACCCCCATACACACACAAACTCACTCTCCTGCTGGTAATAGCTCATCTAAACTGACCACTCTCCAAGTTTAAATCCAAGTTAAACCAGAACATCTGGGGGGGGGGGGGGGTAGGAAAAAACAAGAGGAAACAGGCTACCTTGCATAATGACTTAGCCACTCCCAGTCTCTATTTAAGCCTAAATTAATAGTATCCAATTTGCAAATGAATTCCAATTCAGCAGTTTCTCGCTGGAGTCTGGATTTGAAGTTTTTTTGTTTTAAGATAGCAACCTTCATGTCTGTGATTGCGTGACCAGAGAGATTGAAGTGTTCTCCGACTGGTTTATGAATGTTATAATTCTTGACATCTGATTTGTGTCCATTTATTCTTTTACGTAGAGACTGTCCAGTTTGACCAATGTACATGGCAGAGGGGCATTGCTGGCACATGATGGCATATATCACATTGGTGGATGTGCAGGTGAACGAGCCTCTGATAGTGTGGCTGATGTTATTAGGCCCTGTGATGGTGTCCCCTGAATAGATATGTGGGCACAATTGGCAACGGGCTTTGTTGCAAGGAAAAGTTCCTGGGTTAGTGGTTCTGTTGTGTGGTATGTGGTTGTTGGTGAGTATTTGCTTCAGGTTGCGGGGCTGTCTGTAGTCAAGGACTGGCCTGTCTCCCAAGACTTGTGAGAGTGTTGGGTCATCCTTTAGGATAGGTTGTAGATCCTTAATAATGCGTTGGAGGGGTTTTAGTTGGGGGCTGAAGGTGACCGCTAGTGGCGTTCTGTTATTTTCTTTGTTAGGCCTGTCCTGTAGTAGGTAACTTCTGGGAACTCTTCTGGCTCTATCAATCTGTCTCTTTACTTCTGCAGGTGGGTATTGTAGTTGTAAGAAAGCTTGACAGAGATCTTGTAGGTGTTTGTCTCTGTCTGAGGGGTTGGAGCAAATGCGGTTGTATCGCAGAGCTTGGCTGTAGACGATGGATCGTGTGGTGTGGTCAGGGTGAAAGCTGGAGGCATGCAGGTAGGAATAGCGGTCAGTAGGTTCTAATGATTCACATTTTAACTGTTAATTTTATATTCTTACCACATAGAATTAATTCATAAGAGGAAAAATTCACCTCTGCAGGGACTAGCATAAAGCCTATTCCTCGTTTAAATCCTGTATTACTTTTACACTGTGAGCTCTTTGGGACAGAGACTGCCTTTTTTGGTATGTGTTTTACAGTGCTTAGCACAATGGGGTCCTGACTCCAGATTTGAACCCGTAAGTGCTAGCACAATGCAGATAATTCACACTAATATTCTGAGGCTTTAAGTGGTGCTGGCCTTCTTCATAGGGGTGAATTTAACCCAAGATGCATTTCTTTCCTTCCAGCAAGTTAACTCAATGTTTGTATGAGAGGCAAATCATATAGTACAGTAGTAGTTTTGTTTTTTCTCTTTCCATTTGTATTTTATTGAACTGTAATAAAACCTATAATCAGCAATCCTAGGAAATGATGTGAGGGAAAAAATTGCTTTGGATTTTATTCTTATCCATGACCTCAGTCTAGTCCAGTCTTTAACGCACAAGCTAATATAATGCCTGGATAAGGACTTCCTTTGAAAAAGATAGTAAAATATTTACTGTGCTGTAAGTGTCCTCTTAACCTGTCTTTGATTAGATATTTAATTTGGGTTCTGTATTTAAGATATTATTTTCTTTGTAGATGAAATTGTGGCTCTGAAGCGACTGAAAATGGAAAAGGAAAAAGAAGGCTTTCCCATTACCTCTCTAAGAGAAATAAACACCATTCTGAAAGCACAGCACCCAAATATAGTCACTGTTAGAGTAAGACCACCAATACTTTTATATTAACATTAATTTTGTTCTTGAAGTGTTACTCTTTGACTGTTAAAATGCCCTATAATGGTCTGATTTAAGTACAGTATTTGCTCATTAGAGCTTGTTTCTTTCAGTTTGCAGTTGTGTGCCTCGTATAATCAAATAGCTCATTTTTCTCTATAAAATCTGTTTAAAAGCTATAAAAAATGAACTTGTCTAAACACTTCAGTGTCATACATTTCTTGTGAATTTTATAAATTTGATGTCCCTTTTTTTACCTGCTAATACATTCCTGCCAGTCATCCTTAACCACTTATAAATATTGCTTGGTTTCCTTGATAATGTGCTGTATTTGTTCTTAGGAAATTGTTGTGGGCAGTAATATGGATAAAATCTATATCGTAATGAATTATGTAGAACATGACCTCAAAAGTCTGATGGAAACCATGAAACAGCCATTTTTACCAGGTACTGTATTTCCTAGCATCCTTTAACTTTCCAAGCTAAAATCATGTGAATTACAAGAACATCAATATAATATGTCCCTGAATTATACTGACACATTTTTGGCTTAGTGTGTGACAGAATATATCATTAAGATGGAACTGTTTCTGAAAGCTCTTTGGAACAGGGACTGTTTCATCTTTCTACCTGTCTGTCTAGCCTCTCTATTTAGAAGCTTAGATCAGTGACCATCACTATAATATACAAGCGTCTCCCAAGAATCTATGGTTTGGATTCGCAAAGAGCCTATGCGGAGTGTGGTACCCAATTCCCATTCAGTTTCAATAGGGTAGTCAACTATCTTAGGCTCTTTTGAAAATTCCAGCCTATGTTTGTTTATATATGCAGCCCTTAGCATGATGTGGCCTTGATGATGCTCAGGGCCTTTGGATGCTACTGCAACATATATGATGATGGATGATGATGAAGCAAATATATAAACTGATGGGGAAGTTTCCTTGATTGATTAATTAGGGTTGCAGGTTTACTTGATTTAGTTAGTTAGTTCACTTCAAATATTAGGTGTCATGGGAAAGCTGGAAACACAGGTATTCAAGACTTCCTTCTCTTAACTTTATGCAACAAGATTAGTCCCTGAAAAATGAAATATTTGGGGATTTAACTAATTGTACCCAGAACTGCACCATATTCCTCCCATCTGAATGTGCTGCAGTGTGAGCTTCCTCAGATGCTCCTGGAAGAATTACTCTGTACCCTTGAAAAGCAATTCCATTGTCTCTGCTAACTTAGGCACATGTTAGCGTTATCTGATTTGTTTGACAGTCACCTAGGCATTGTGAGAAATGCCTGTTCTGCATGGGCTGTGCTGAAAACACTAAATTGAACACAGTTCATTCACTATCTTGTGCTAAAATTCTGTAGCCAAATCTTGATACCATTTATGTCATTGAGAGTTTTGAATTGACTTCAGTGGGATCAGGATTTGGTCCATATTGATAAAAGCCCCTGCTTTCTTCCCCTTAATCCTGTAAACTAGTTGGTTCTTTTTTAATAATGAAATGCATAACTAGTACTTTTTTTGGTTATGTATGTTTTGTTCTATGCTCTTGATTTAACTGTTTCAAAAAGCATAGTACTAGTAGACTTCATCTTTCAACTGAACACACAAGGTTCTTTCTTTCATCCTTCCAGGTGAAGTGAAAACTTTGATGATTCAGTTATTGCGTGGAGTCAAGCACCTTCATGACAACTGGATACTTCATCGGGACTTGAAGACCTCCAACTTGCTGCTGAGTCATAAAGGCATTTTAAAAGTAAGGATCCAGTGTGTGTTTGTTTTGTTTTTTTAAAGGCCTTGAACTTCATTGCATCATAGCAGTTAATATCTGGATAGTGTGTTGCATTTCCATTCTTGCAGCTGTAGCATGCAAGAAAACCTACTGTTGCAAAATAGAATAAAATTTTCCATTCGATACAAAGACTGCCCTGTCATGGTTGTACGATTTATGCTAGGATATGACTAATAAATAAACATGGTTTAGTGGTCAAGGGAAATACTGTCTTGTTTTTATAACAACATAACTAGGAGCCAGATCAGGGTTCTTTTCCCAGCTGTGCTATAGACTATATGTGTTTGTTGTCAGATGTTTGGCCATGTGCGTGTTCTCCCAGCTTTGCGCAGACAGCTGGCACATCAGACCTTGAGTGAACCACCCAATAAATCCACAGACTTGGTTTGTAGCAAAGGTGCTTGGTCAGGTTTATTGCTGACAAAGCACGGTGCTAATGCCCTAGCTCAATGGTTACAGGTATACTCGTATATGCTCGTGAAAATGGACTGGCTCAGTTAGTGGTGGGACTTTCCACTATCTCCTAGGCCAGACAAAGACATTTCCTCTGAGATACATCTTTAGAGACCAATACAAACAAGTTACGCATCACCCTCTGATGTATTAGGGCGCCACACGTTGCCTTGTACCTGTTGGTTCGATCAAAACATCTCTATTCATCATGCTGTCATCCTGACCCTATCCTTAAGATCGGTCCGCATGTTCCTGTTATCTTTGGGGAGTGTGGTTATTGGGGTGTTCTGGTGCCACCCTTCTGGAATGTGTTTACGTGAGTGTTTTGTGCCTAGCACCTCTTAGGAGTATGTGTTTTTGCAATATCAGCCCTATGCTTGCCAAATTCTGTGAGTAGGGCCTGCCTCTTGCTCATTACTTGACTTTGCTTCATATCAGCAAGGTTTTAACTACCTTAACCCAGGCCTCAGGCCTCATATCAGGCCTCTAATACAAGACCTTATGTTTCAGGCCCTCTTCTTACTACATGTGTGACCTTAAATAAGTTGTGTAGTCTCTGTGCCTCAATTTCTCCATCTGTAAAATAGGGATAACACTTTTTTTAACTCCCAAGCATATTGTAAGACTTAATAAATTAATTGAAAAGTACTTGTATAAGTTCTAAATTGTAATATTTTTCTTCCTGTTGAAGGAAATAACATTAAAAGGTGGGTATTCATTCTTGGGGACAGATTATACATATTTAATTTATTTAAAAAAAAATACTGGAAGGGTATGTAACAAGTAGGATCAGGATATAACAGTCTTCTGCAGTTTCACAGCTCTAATATCCAGAGGCAAAATTACAAAGTAACTATTATTCAGAAACCTTAGGGTATTAATGTAGTATGTAGCCTATACTGTGTCCTTTCCTAAAGAAGACAGCTCTTTTTCACACTATATGAAATTTTGCTATTTGTTATGGGATTGCAATTAGCACCATCTAATATTTTTTTTCTGCCATGAAAATTTACCAGCCTAGGGAGAAAATCTACTAGACCTTTGCCATGATGGTCAGTAATGGAAAAAAACCAAATTATATTTGCCTTACCAGTCAAAATAAAGTAATCGCCTTGGATGAGGGAGCAAACAGAATTTTACAAGACTAACTTAAATCAGTGGTTTAAGTTTGCAAGGAATTAGCAGAATAACTTTTTTTAAGGGAGTGAGGGTGGAGGAAAATGACTGCACAATGCACACTGGCATTGTAGATGACACCAGCTTCTACTGTGCGTTTTTTAGTGGCTAGTGCTAATGATGATCCATTCTCATTCAGGTTGGAGATTTTGGACTGGCCCGAGAGTATGGGTCACCTCTGAAGCCTTACACACCAGTAGTTGTGACACTATGGTACAGGGCACCAGAGCTGTTACTTGGCGCCAAGGTATGCTTTGTTCTGTCTATCTGTGAACTAAGATGGCAGTTAGTCTTAATAGCGCCTTGATTTTTTTCCCCTTATTTATTTTGCAGTTGACCTACAAAGTATGCATGGATGATTTTTCATAGTAGATTTAGAGATGGAAAAATATGGAGCCGAAACCATACTGTAATTGCTAATTTAGTGGAGGAAATTTTACTTGGTTTCCCATAAGCGGAAAAGGTTACATGCTTCTGAAGAGAGGTGGATGGGTGTAACTGTTCTTCTTTGGAATATTAATAGGAGCGAACTACCAGGGTTTTACTGTTAGAGACTGGTGATGTTCATCAGTGCCATATAGGGAACTGGATTGCTTGATTTTTGGAGATGGGGAGGGGACAGTGGGGGCGGGGCATCTTACTCCCATTCTCTACAACGTGTGGAAGCTTGATGCACAGCTTTAAACAGCAAAGCAAAGCATTTGGCACCACTTCGATCACGATGTCCACCCGCTGTTTAGCTGATCCATACTGCAGGCTTGGAAGAGGCCTTTATGAAACTCTAGCTGGTGGTCTGGTTAGTAGAATGTGGGTTGGGAGAAAAACCATTGCAAGAATCACAAAAGTAGATGGTGTAAGAGTTAGAGAGAACCTATGCTCTGGGTCCAAGATTTTCACCATATCTTATTAATCAGGGGCTGTGCAATATGTCAGGCTGCTACAGGTGAAAAGACTACTTTTGTTTAGGAAGAGAGTTCTACTGTTGTGGTCAGATTTTTGCCCCTTAAACTGAGACTATTCTTGGGGCAGAGGGATCAAATGCAGAACACAGTGCTAATGTATGATAGGGCAGTGGCTAGGACTCCCTCTGCTAGTTGTGATGGGAATGATTCTCAACATGGGGTGAGAGAAAAACATTTTTGTGAGTGTCACATTTCAGTATGTGATGTTTCTGTGTATAATAAGTAACTATTTTATCATCCATAGTAACTTCTACTTGAGAATATGCATGGTTCACATGCAGTGAAATAATTATAATGTACAGTGACCAAAGTAATCAAATCATCATTCAGTTGGTTGGCAAACCATGTCTAGTAAAGTAATTCCACCTGTAATTTGTACATTTTATCTATTTTCAGGAATACTCCACTGCAATAGACATGTGGTCAGTAGGTTGTATATTTGGAGAATTATTAACTCAGAAACCGCTGTTTCCAGGAAAATCAGAAATTGACCAGATTAACAAAGTTTTTAAGGTAACTGATGTTCTTGGAGTCACTGATAATTGTTGTAGCCCAGCACTGCTCTAGAAGGATATAGTAAGCAAATTAACACCCCCTCCCAGCTCTGATATAGATATAACAGAGCCTTCTGTTGTTCAGCATATACATGTGGTCAATATGTTGTTAAAGATTGTGCTTTTATTTTATGTGTTTTGATATTTATCAAATCATATATGTGGAAGGAACAAGAAAGATGCACTGCGGTGTGTATGTTCTTCTAAGATAATATTTTGATTTGCAGGACCTGGGTACCCCCAGTGAGAAAATCTGGCCTGGGTACAATGAACTGCCTGCTGTAAAGAAGATGACATTCACAGAGTATCCCTATAACAACTTACGCAAGAGGTTTGGGGCACTCCTTTCTGATCCAGGTTTTGATCTCATGAACAAGTAAGTGTAAATTTCTATTGGAATAGAGGAAGAATCCATTTATTACAGATCTATAATTATGGAGAATTTCTACAGTCCTGCATCAAGGCATGGCTTTCTTTTTGGTTAATTTAATTTCTCAGGAAGGTGAGACTGATGCATCTCAAGTCTCTTGAATTATCAACTCCCTAAATTCTATTCTTGGCCTGCACATAGCTACCTCTAGTGAACCTGAATCCTGACATGTAACACCTCTTATTACTCCACTGTGCTGGCAGAGCCAAGGACTGGAGTCCTAAAATATAATGTTTGTTTTCCAAGTAGTAGTTTAGATCATTCATATTGCATTTAATTATCCTGTCCTGTGAGTCTTCCCTCTTGCAGCTTACTGATGGCCATTGATATCAACAGTGAAGTCATAATGTTACAGTTAAACTGGAGGGGGTGGGAAGGAAAAGGAAACAGATCTTAGAATTCATAAGAGGAAAGTGGAAAGCTAGGGGAAAAAATAGTCATCTGTATTTTGTCAATTCTGTTAAATCAGCTGTTCTGGTTGTCTTCATAATTAGTTCTATCCGTAGATCCCTGATCCTCTGTTCCCTGTCTCTCCCTGCCCTTCTTTTTCTTCTTCTTCTCCTCCTCCTCCTCCTCTTTTTTTTTTTTTTTTTTTTTTTTTTTTTTTAAAGGATGCTGGCAATGGCTTGAGGGATTTTTTCCCCTAAAAAGTTCTCCTAGATTTCATGCCATGTGTATGTACCTGGAAAGGACAGATTCAGGTACCAGGTTCTATGGAAAGTCTGTGTCCATCCTTTGTAAAAGAGGATTTTCAGTCCTCTCAGTTTAGCCACTAAACATGCCAATCAGCTGTTGCTTATTTTTCTTTGGAATGAGTAAAACAATATTACTTCGAATCCCTTAAGTAACCTGCCAAAGTCTGTCCTAGTAAAGATGGTTGTCAGTACAGTGCTGTATAACTCACAATTACTTAGGTTAAGATGGGTTTGTCTCTTAGAAGAGATCATTAGTGCAGGATGCATGTATGTAGGCCCTGGTCCTGCACAAGCTAAACTTTACACATATTATTGAAGTCAGAGGGACCAATCTCTCTTTCTCTCTCGCTCCAAATGTTTGCAGTATGATGGTCATATTATGCTAAGCTTGGTATATGGCACAATAGAGACAAACCTTTTGTACTGTTACGTGCTTGAAATAGTTGACCACAGATTGACTGGTCAGGTTATATTACAGAATTGTGTAAGAGTCATCCTTACTACAGAGTGAAGCAACATATAAAATTGTGTTAATTGAACCACTTTAGATCCTTTCTAAGCTATATCTGACTACTCATTCATCCAGATGCTTTTCCTGATCTCTGCAACTCAACAAATGTATCTTCAAAAAGGGTTATTTTTTACTTTAGTGGTGCTGAGTGTGTATGGTGTTGGTACCCCTGAAAAATAATTTAATGTAAAGTTCCAGTTTTTATTTACTTTTAAAAATAATCCTTTTTCAGAAAATGGGAATATCTTAAACTGGATGTCGGCATATTTTTTTCCCCTTTGAGCTAATTTTTCCCCTTTTCTCTGCTTTTTTTTTTTAAACCCCGTCCCACTCCATCCCTTTGAATAATTTTCAGGTTCTTGACATACTATCCAGGCAGAAGAATCACTGCTGAAGATGGTTTGAAGCATGAGTATTTCCGAGAGACTCCCCTTCCTATTGACCCATCCATGTTTCCAACATGGCCAGCAAAAAGTGAACAACAAAGAGTTAAGCGCGGCACAAGCCCACGACCTCCAGAGGGAGGACTTGGGTATAGTCAATTGGTAAGTTTCCCAAATTGGTAAAGAGCCAAATTTTGAGGTAATCCAGCATAGAATCTCCTACTGTCCCTTCTTGTGTCTCCTGGTGCTATTGTTGTGAAAACTGATAGACTGGACTGTATCACCGTATTGGGTTTGAAATCATTAGACTTACTAGCAAGTTCATTGTTCTTAAAAAGTGAATGTGGCAAGTATGGTGGCATTTTGATCATGGATGAAGACTGAAGTCCCATGCCTGGTACATTGCAGGCACCACTGTGCAGAGGGGGAAGCTGCCCTGCTTCCTCCAATATTGGGGCTAGGGGAATAGTCCAGAAAAGTGAGGCTCGTACCTTTTCCGTTTTCTGGGCTTCCTATGTGCTAAGCTTGACTTGAGAAGCCATAGCCATTTGAATCCGCTGCAAAATCTCATTGTACTCTTCAGACTCCTCATTCAGAGCTTTCTTCTCTCCCTTCCCAAGTCCAGCACATGTTAGACAATACATTTTATTGGTTGTGCTCAAGCTACTTTTGATCACCTGTGAACAGATGACGTAAGTTTCTATGTCCATAATTTTGAGGGTGTAAAATCTCAAATGGCAGATGTGCCCAAACTGTATTTGATCAGTTGGTTAATATGCTGATTTACCAATGCAGATCGTGCAGTCACAATAGTTTTTGCATGCTCAGAGATAAAGGCACTCAAAAACAAGCATCCAAAATAGGAAATTATAATGAAGTCCTTTTGGAAATATAGCCCTGGGGTGTTGATTAAATAACATGAATAAAACTCCACTTAGAGCTCAATGGTGAGGCCATTAAATTTAACATGGTATTTCCTGTATCTTATAAATATTGTTCACTTTGCTTTTATTGTAGTGTTAGAACAGTGAGACATACATTTCTTACTTATAAACACATGAATTATATATTCATTTTCACAGGGTGATGATGATCTGAAAGATACAGGTTTTCACCTGACTACCACAAATCAAGGAGCATCTGCAGCAGGACCTGGCTTCAGCCTCAAGTTTTAAACTTAATATGAGGAGGGGAAAAAGACAGAGCTTTGACTTCAACCATGCTGTTGATGAATGGATTTCAAAGTGCTCCAGTTTTGTTCTTCGCATCAGGAAGACTCTGTATTTTACACAGAAATAGCCAGATGTCATCTTGCTGGGTGTGGAATATAACTGCTGCATTTCATTCAGGGGACTGGAATGAATTAATCCGAAAAGCCAAGGATCATTACAAAAATTCAAAAAGGAAAACTTGAAGTACAATCTCGGAACTGTTTTTTTTTTTTTTTTTTTTGCTTGTAAATTTGTAGAATTAAAATCCATTTTTAATTGTTTAACAGTGTGAAGGATTTCATTTTCTTCACCTGCACCAGACTTGGATGGTGGTGGCACTAAATCTTCTAGAGAGGAAACTTAGAGAGATTTTTCTCTCTCCATCATCCCCATTTGTGCTTACACAATTGAAGCATATTGTCAGCACAGGTAGAAAAGCTCTTTTGTAAAGATTATTATCTCTTTGAATTCAGTTGCTTATTTCAGCAAGAAACCCTAAAGGCATTTCTGATGTCTCTCCTATTCTGTGCCGCGCTTAATACTTACTGACCTTTTCTGAGAGCCCCAAGTGGTTTCTGATGGATTGACCTACTGTATGTATATATTCACAATGGCTGTGGTGCAGACCAAGAACTGCAATATTCTTTTTATAAATCAAAAAGATTTAAATCATTATTTTCTGAAGGTAGTCTTGTTAATGTCTCCCCTTTTTTCCCCAAAAGAAAAGGTAGGTGTACTGAATTTACAGTGCTACCTTCCAACACCTACATAGACTAGCCTTCCATAGGAATTGTCCTGAAATGTTGTACTCTTTTGCGTTTCTAATTTATAACTGATCTATCCTTTTCAGCGGAGATGTCAGAAAGGAATACTATAAAAAGCTGGACATTCATGCAATTAGAATTAGGCTCCAATCCAGTAAAGTGCTTAATTTGAATGATATGAGTAGTCCCATTTATTTCAGTGCAACTATTCATGTGCTTAAAGTTAAGCATAATAAGTGCTTTGCTGGATCAGAGCCTTAGAAACAGGATTTTTATATATACAGATTGTCGTAAATTTTAAAAGTAAAATATTCTTGGAGGAAAATAGAAGTGTATCAAATATTTTCTCTTAGGCCTAATTTTCTAATTTGTGGTGAATGGGGGTGGGGAGGGGAGGGGAAGGAAATTTTTAGTCTTGTTACCTGTCTGCTTATTTCAGAAGCAGACAGGTAACAAGACTAAAAATTTTGGCAAGATCATACTGTATTGTGAGTATGTGGCAGTTATTAATGTATGGAAAAGCAGACTCCATACTACATCTCTCAGACTGCAGAGCAGAAGAACATCTGGCAGTGACCGGCACAATAGCTGATAAAGGATTAAAAATGTGACTTTATATTGTGTGTCAAATGCCACTGTAAACTTTGCGCATCATAACTTTTGTATCGTTCCCTTGGCAACAGCGGCTATAGCCACCAATGGACGTTGCACATAGAAAAGTCTGATTCCCAGCAAGAGAGGATTTTTTAGTAAAACAAATTTAGCTGGATTAAGATGGGAATTTTGTCTGGTTTTGAAAAGTGTGTGATTCCAGATGTTCCAGGGGAAGGGAATATTGCTACTTGCCTCTGTGGAGCAGCATTCCAGTTGGTCTGCCTCAGATTAATGAAACAAGCAAAGAAAACACGTAATCTTTTAATTCAAAAATGTCTGTTTTTCCATATGGAGTGCTTACTGTGTATGATCCTAGCTTGACATGTCCATACAAAAAAGATTATTTTCTGTTCCCCTACCCTCAGAAAGTAGCTAAATTAATTTGATAAAATCAAGTCCCATGTTAATCCATTTTGTACAAATAAATAGAAATAATAGTGAAATGCTAATCATGTTTTCCCAGCTGTAAATCTGATATTTTTTTTTATAGGCCCTACATATACATTTTGGGTGTGACTGGCCAAGTGTTTTCCATATTAAAGCTGAGCCTTTAAGGTGGGTAAATTTTGTTTTTAAATCTTAAGCTCTGTAAAACTGAACTATGGTAAGAAAATACTTTGAAAACAGTTTGTTCAGAACCACTCTTTTCAAGCATTTGAATTCAGTCTGGTGTGTTTCCATAAGCTTTCAACACAGGCCAATGTGCAGATTCTACTCTGAGCATGAGCAGAAATGGAAGGACTTTTGTAATGCTTGCACATTTTGCAATGTTGTTAACAAAGTTCGCTTTGAGGATAGAGTAATCAACTGTTATAACAGCAGACGTGAAATTTAACTATAATTCCACCATGGTGAAGTGTTTTTAGTATCAAAGTTGGGTGATAGGAATGGGAATACAAGGCTTTTAAATATCTGATTTTTCCTGTACTGTGGGGAAAATGGGATTGGCACTTGTTTGCTCTTCGAAGGCCTGAAATATTTCTAAATTTGTTTTGCTTGTGTTTATCTTGCTTTTCCAGAAAGATTCTATCAATGACTATAGCTCAGTGGTTTGAGCATTGGCCTGCTAAACCCAGGGTTATGAGTTCAATCCTTGAGGGGGCCATATAGGGATCTGGGGCAAAAATTGGTCCTGCTTTCAGCAGGGGATTGGACTAGATGACCTCCTGAGGTCCCTTCCAACCCTGATAGTCTATGATTCTAAGACTAGAAATGTAGTAGGTTTGTTGTCATAGTCCTGTTCTACCCTTCGAGAAATCATCATGGTTAGTTAAAGTTGGTGTATGAATGGCATCTAGATAGTAGGGCAGGGCTGGATGGTTTGCAGATCCTCTCCTTTGCTAAGTAAGCCACTTCCTGCATTCCCTCCTCCACCATCCATCTGAGCAACAGCCAGCCTGGCTCTGTGGGAAAACAGCTGAACAGAAGACTTTAGCTCTACAGGAAGCCTATAAACAAAATACTCATCCCTCCACAACAAAACCACACAGCTGTTACTCCTTCAGGATCCATTCTCTCAGAACCCCTGTGAAATGTCATTGGGAGCAGGGGGTCTCTGTTAGCAGATCTCAGCCCACAAGCAAGGCTGGAGGGGTGTCATGAGTTTCTGTTGATAGGCTTTCTGTAACACGCTATCAGAGCAGCTCACATACACTAATAAATTTACAACCCTCTTAGGCAGGGGAAATGTTATCCACCTATTACAGATGGGGAGCTGGGGCATAGAGAGATTGAAATCCACGCTGTGATGGGTGGAAGAGAAACTAAGAGCTACAATTAATCCCAAACATGAGACAAGGCAGGGACTTTTAGCAGAACATTTGATGCAGTCGGGCCTCTGCAGTCTCAGAAAGTGAGATTTAGCTGTAAACTGACCCCCAGACCCTAAAAAGAAACACCTATTTTTTTTCCTTTTCCCTCCTCAGATCTCTTCTTGTCTCTGTCTGGGTAGATGGAAGTTCACTTTAACCCCACAGCACTGTAAGTAACCTGAGAACATTTTGGTTGTAACAGTGATGGAAGAAAGCTGGTTCTGTAATTTGAGTTTGCTGCAGCTTTAAGATGCCTATTTTATTGACATAACATCACATGTGGTTGTTAAATGAATTGTGAAATTTTAGAAAGAACCATAGTTACAGCAGCAGTTAATGGGAGTAAAACAAAAAACCTTATCATAAAGCATGATGATTTCCCTGTGCTCCACCATGCTTAAACTGAATAGGAGATGTTAAAAAAAAAAATTGCCTGAGCCAGTTACTGAGTCTCTCAGCAGCTGTGGGAAAATTGTCCCTGTGATATACTTGGGCACAATGAGGTGGGACAGGAGATGTGGAATTAGAAAGGTATTCCTAGAGTTAGTTAGCTATACTGTTAAAGGTGTGGATTTAAAGTGAGATTATACATCCCTCTGTGGACACACTTTTTCTGGAATAAGATCAGCTTTTCATAGTTTAGTACATGTCACTTTGGAAAGGCTTTAAACTCAGCTCCAAAATAAGTTGTCCATAGGGCAGTTTACAATTGTACCTATCTGTCTAGTGCAAACATCTTTCAACACGCACACCTGTCCTATTGCTTGCCCCAGGTTTAACTGCTGAACTTCACTAGATTATCATCCAGCCTTTGAATTAATAGTGTTGTCTTTCCTGAAATGCATGCAAGCATGGTCCGATATATAACTACCAGGACAGTCGTTCTTAGAGTTTATGGCAAGAAAATGCATCAGAGCCAGGGATTAGTGTTAGATGTAGGTTTATTTACCATCTTGGTTACCTACAAGAAAGGGGTAAAACTCCACATTAGTTAAATGTGAATATTTTACATTTGGCAACTACAAACATCAATGAGGGCAGGGCAATAAATATGATGGGTGTTAGAACTATTTTAAAATGAAAAGTATGGTCAATGGGAAACTTCTAGGAAAGCAGCAATGTCCACATGGTGATAGACAACAGCCAGGATAGTAGCTGGCAATGAAGTATGGCAGCAGAGAAAGCAAATGTGAGCTTCTGGGCTGAATAGTTAGAAATGGTACATCAGAAGCCATCTATGTAGCCCTAGATAAAAAACGGGTGGTGGGTGAGAAAAGGGGAACTCCTCTTAAAGACACAGGAGTTTTCAGCACTTCCATAATATTATTGGCGGCCTTTACCTGACCATCAACAAATTAGAATTCTTAGAGCAGAAATAATGATGGAAGGAGATTCACACTTTAGAATTTGAGCACAGGAAAAAAAAGACACCTGAAGGGTAAGGTCTATTTGACTGTAGAACAGCTAAGGGCAGTGGTGGAAAGCCTAGTTCTTGAGTCATTTAAAACAGGACAGGATAAACTTGTTGGAGGGACCAACCAGTCATTGGACTCCATGAGCAGAGAGAGGGAAAAGCCCTCTAAAAGAAGGGAGTTTGCAGGCAGAGAACATTCTATTCTAAGCCAGCTGTAAATGGTAGTGCAGTAGTATTAGAAATAGTTCCTATGTCTTGGTGGGGGGAAGGAATGTGGTAGAAAGATGAACAGGGCCTACTTTGAGCCATACCCTAGACTGATGTAAAGCAACTTAGCCACTGTAAACTTGACTGCAGTGGAGCTACGGCTCTGTCCTCTAGAACTTGCAGGAGATGAATAATATATAATCAGTAATGATGTATGCATTAAAACCAAGTAATAGTTTTTGTCTAGAAACAGCAATGCCCTGTTGCTGTCTGATGTGGGGCTGTCCCATTATCCATCAGATGTTTACTTGATCCAAGAAACAAAAGCACTTCCATAGTTATTTTAGTGATTTATTGGTAACTTGTTATCTAAGAATGACATCTGATGCAGGCTTGGAAGCTACAGACAGAGGTAAACAACACATTGTGATAAATACAAATCACAGAAACATTTACAGGGGGAAGACGCATTCCCTGGCTATTTTAGTTATGTAACATTTGGAATTAGAGAAATTTTCCCTGGAAAAACTGAAGGAGGTCTAACTCTAGAATGAGTGCTCAAATAACAGCATCCATGTAGAATATAGCCAGGGATTAGTCTTTTGTTTCAAGCCCCGCTGCCATATATTGGCATTTTAGAAAGTTAAAGTACAAAGAAATGCTTGACAAACCCTGGAACATTAACCAGTCCTTTTGTTTCCAATATATATCCAAAGCTATTGCAACATCAAGCTGGTGACCCATTTTTATTCTAAATGATCTACAATTACCTGGGTAATCTTGGCTTTAAGATTTTTTTCCCCTCTTTTGCTTGATAGTAAACTCTTGGACATTAGAGAAATTTTTCCAATGATCAACTTTCTTGCCCCTCCCCGGGTAGCAGCTGAGTTCTATGCTGGGTTGCTCTGCTGGAGGTTAAACATAAAATGCGGAAGAAGATGGGATTTTTGTCTGAAACAACTAGCCGTAACTGATGTCCTCATTCAAGACCCTTGTTAGTGTCTAACCCTAATCCTCCAGGAATAGGTAGTCAGGATTCTTTGCTTTTTCTTCACAATGCAGGTATAGGTTCCTTCATTAATTGCATTGGCAATAATGCTCATGTGGTCATCATTTAAGGCTAAGTAACCTGGATATGAGTATTCCAGAAGCTCCTTGTCTTTATACCAGCTGTCATAAGGAAAATAGTGAGAGTTAAACACACAGCATAGATCAAAATGCATTGAAGAGGCTTGTCAGTAATAAGAATTTGTATTGGGGTTGTATCATAGCACAGACAAGACCAATTTGAAATGTAGATTAAACTTCAAAAGCCTCTACCTCCCTAGGGACTTAGACATGTCTGAAATTGCCACTAGAAGAAACCTAACAGGCAGCTAAATACCTTTTGAAGATCTGGATCTAAATCACTTAAGCCCCTAAATTCTATTTTCAGAAGTTCATTAGGGCCAGACCCAGACCCACAAAGGTAGTTAGGTGCCACTGACCTTCTCAAAACATCCAAGCAGGTTAGGTACTCTATTCCCATTGAAATCAGTGGGAGTTAGGCACTTCACAATTTATCTGCATTTTTAAATACATCTGAAAATTTTAAAAATGAGTTATTAATAGGACCCCATTTGAGTCCTACTGGCAGTATTTGTGATTTTATCATGTTTAAAACACAATTCTCATGCTCTGTCCTGTGAAAGACCCAGGGAGACAGCCCTGTCATGCACATTGTAGCCAAGTGAAAAATAAGGATTTTCTTCCCTTTCTAATCTTTGTTACTTGCCACAATAGGTTGAAAGTAGTATTAATTTTATAGATTCATCCATTTAAGGCCAGAACAGACCATTGTGATGATCTACTCTAATATAACATAGACCAGAAAATTTCCCTAGGGGTTAGAGTTATTGTTCCTACTATTTAAGTGAAGTAAATAAGCTACTGTGAAAGAGAGACATTCTGATAGTGTTGCACATAGATTCTGGGTTCTTTAAAAAATTTAAAACTAATAATACTTGACACTAACTGTTGCATTCAGTAAAGCATCCCATCCACATTGAGAGGAGGGGCTCTAGCATTCCCTGGTGGGTTAAATTCTACATTGTTTGTTGTGCTCCTCCACCTGTTCTTAGTCCCGCACAATTTAAGTGTAAAACGTGTTTTTGTTCTGTGCAGCATCATCTCACTCTGACAGGGGCTCCTAAATACTACTGCAATACAAATAATAAATGATACATTCTAATTTTAATGGCTATAAAGAGAAGCCTTAAATCCATGGGTCTCAGACTAAACTGCTACTTTGTAGTGTCACTTCCATGAGGAAAAGTGTTCTGAACACTGTTTACTCCAGTGAAATCACTACTAATTCAAAGAAAAACCCATCTCAGAGCATTATTTCTGGATGTCTGATATTGTTTTTGTCTGTAAAATGCAGCGTGTCCCAAATGATTGGAATGGGGGAAGAGTACTTACTAAACTTTGCCTTTTTTATGAATAATCTTCTGTCCACAGCGAAAGGTGACATTCCTGCCTTCAGGAACAATCTTGGTTTTCGTCCTGAGTGGAGGAAGAGTTGGTGCTACTGTTGGAAAAGGGAATTCTGTCCACCAGAAGGAGGGAAAAAAAATAGCTAAGTCAGTTTATGCCATTGGAAAGCATTGCTGAAGATAACAGTATTTTTGAGGAACCACACTGCCTTTTAGATTTCCTTTTCTGTATAGTAGTTCTTCAAAGCTTCCTCCTAAATAAGCAAGTATTGGAAAGGCATTACTTTATCATAATTTCCATAGACAAATAACATCCTCTCAGTGCGTTTACATGGCACAAGATGACATTGGTTGACTTTTTTCTATCACCACAGCCTTGCCAACACTTGTGATTTTAGCGCAAGTCTCATGATATTTGCTGATTTTTCGGAAGGGGGGGTAGAGGAAGGTTTATCCTAGGTCCTGGATTTATATGAGAATCTGTGCAGGGAAACAGTTTACATAAAATATAATCACTGTCATTGAAATGCTGTTCTAAGACATACTTGTTATTAGTCTGAATGGAGGTACACAACCCCAGTGCCCTCTTTCCTTTAGTCCAGGCTCACAAATATAAAACGAAAAGGAGTACTTGTGGCACCTTAGAGCTCACAAATATGTTCCTACTGCATTGTAGCAGGCACGACACCTAATCTGCAATTCAGCACTATCGGCTTGCATTCTTCAAAGCCAAAGTGTAGTAACTGCAGTTAATGACATACTTTTTCCTCTCTGATAAGATGGGGGAATAGCCTAAAATTTGTTTAACAAAGCAATTACCAGGTTTCAGATTTCCAAAGGGATGGGTTAGATCTAGAGGGTCAAGTGCAAGTTAGACTAACCAACTTTAGCTCACAACTTTCCCACCTCGCCATGTAAATTATGGTACCAAATACCTCACCTCTGAATTTTGCCCTCAAGAGGATCTGATAGGGAAGCAGCACAAGGCACATGGAACAATTCTTGTGTTCACAAACTCTCAGGGTCTTGGGATAAAGTTAAATCAGAGAGGAGGAACACTGACCAGGACAGCAGACTTTTCCATACTCTAGACAACATACCCTGGGGCTGAAATGCAATAGGCAAAGCAAGGGTGTTAAGGGCATCACTGATAACAAGACTCTTCCAGACCAAAGGATTCAGTAATTTGTCACTAACATTCAGATAGCTCACACAATTTAACATTGTCCCTCTGTCAACTCTTATGACCCTTAACCCTGGAAGAGGAGCTGATACCATAGCAGAAATCACAGCTGGACGGACAGTGCTTTTTCATCAACTTCCTACGAGTCTCACAGAAACCTTTCCGAGTCCATGATGGACATACGAATAGTCTGTCTGTGCAGCCTGAAATGAAAGGAGACAAAGCATTAAAGGGACAAGTGCCATTTCTGTATGTGAAAGAAAGTGATGTGCAATAAAACAACATTGGATCACATTGTGTGAGCTTGATCTGCCATGGGTAGGAATCAGCCTTAAATAAGAACATAAGTAGTGTGCACTTTCCAGTATTTACATTAATTAACAATGGGCAGCACTAGGCTGGACCCTCAGTGGAACTGTGAATTTGCCCCAGGTGAAGGTCTGATCCCATTGACTTCAATGGAGCTACGAGACTAGGTGAGGCTCTGACCCACTATTCCTTAATGCCAGTAGACAGCTGTGCAGAGCAATGTCATTTTGAAGCCATGATAGGCATCAGGAAATCAGTGCTGCTCAGGATCAGGCCTTTAGTCTGGTGCTCTTTACACTAACAGCTACAAGAAACAAACCCTTTCCTCTCATCTCACCATAGAGTCTGTGAATCCCCCACATGTCATCCTGGGAGATGGTCTTTTTCCCAGTTAAAGTGGCATTGATGTGCATCAGGGCATTAGAGTTCAGGGAGTGCATGAGTCCCAGGGCATGTCCAATTTCATGAGCTGCTACATGTACGAGGTCTGTAAGCCAAACACCTGGGAGAGGAAAAGAACAGCAGCAGAAGTTACACAGCATGGTTCTGTTCACTCACCTCAAAGTATAACAATGGATTCAGCTCAGTCAGGACGCAATTTCAGACTTTGTTCAGGAATTGTTTTGTCTGGGGATTTGCCCCAATTCCATCTCCGGTGCATCAGCAGTGGATATTTGCACCAGCAGCTTGTACCCTGGTTTCATGCACTGTGCAAACAGCAGCTTTGCCTGTAAGAATTTACATTAGAGCTGCTACATTTGTGCCTGAAATCAGGACAAAACCCCAGCATGACCAGGCCAATGTGTTTCTGGCAACATTCTCCCTTGTTATTCCTACAGCATCATGCTTAACTAGGACATGATCATTTAAGGATGAAACCATTAGCCATTTACATGTATAAAGCACGCTGTTTTGATTGTTCTGCGTACACTTGGGGATAAAACTCCTACAAGGCAGGTTACATTTTTGTTGTACTGACTTAGCATCCCCTTAAGATGTAGAACTGAACTGCAACTTCTTGGAGACTTAGCAGCAGAGATGGATAGATTTTAACAGAAGGATGATGATGATGATAATCATCTACTCATAAGACAGGCCAGAGAATCTCACCCAACAATTTCTGCATCAAGTCAATTTGTGATTGAACTAGAGCAGCGCTCAGAGAAAGATCGCATCTTACAAATTTGCTTAATGCATTAAATGGGAGTCTCTGGAAATGCTGGTTTACCTTTGTTTTTGGCTGTGTCTCAAGGCACTTTTCGATGGTGGATGAGAGAATCTTCTGTCCCTGTCTATTGTGATGTTAATTTGCATCTGTGCCCCCACATATTGCAGCCCTTCTGAAGAATCGTCCATCTGAGGAGCACCGTGTGCTTTACAAACATTAGTGAAGTCAGCCTTGCAGCAACATCAGTATCATCATTGCTGTTTTGAAGGCAAGCAATTACAGGGACTGGATCTCCTCTCATTCAAGTCACTGCAACTCAGAAGCATCTCTACTGAAGTCAATGGGGTTACATTGCTGCCAAACCAGTGAGAGTGGGAAATCAGGTCTAGGAGTTTGTGGCAGAGCCAGGAATAAAATTCCGGTCTCCCGACTTCCTGTTCCAGGCCGAGGCCTGAGCCCCAGAACCACCCTTTGTACCCTGAGACTTTGGAATGACGATTTTAATTGAATTGTGACACACACAGCTCTTCTTGCCCTCAGCTAGGAACTTGAACTCTTCAGTTCCCCTCGTGCTCTGAACCCTTGACAGATGTACCCTGTTCCTCACTTGGTACCCATCATTCCTGATGTGGCTAAGAAATTTACTGCGATACCTCGTTTCCTCGAAATAGCTTTTAGGGAGCTTCATGGTTTATGCGGATATCTTTCTGGATTCTGCCACCTTCTTGGTGGAGTGGGGACGACAAACACTCACCCACTGTAACTACTGCAAACCCAAATGTGGTTAACGTTGTACCAGCAGCTGTTTGCAGAAAAACAAGTTACCAGTTGATAAGTATATGGTTTGCTGGCTAGCAGACAACACCCATAAAATACGAACATCGGATTTTTAGTATCACCATCACACTGCCATGGAATGCATTTAATCTTCAGCTCAGGGTTTGTGCGGTTTTTTCTCCCCTCCCCCAATACAAATGTTAGAGAATCTTGTAACATGACCTCGCTCCATCTCTCTTTGAATATACGTTGACATTCCTGCTTTAAATGCCTTACAAACAGCCTTAGTCCCTGGAAGGTTTGTCTGGGGTTTTGTTTTGGTCTAGTTTCTATTTCCTTGTGCTTTGAGGGAAAAAATGTTGTTACAAGTCATTTTGGATTATCATTGAAATTCTCTCTCCCAACTGGTTTCATAACCCTGTTGTCTGAGCTGTTTGTTGTTTTTTCTATAGCTCTGTAAGCATGTGACATACTTCGCAACAGGTTAAAATTAAAAAGTCAAACAAAATCCAAAAATCCTTGTCCTGAAGATGTAAAAAAGCACTTGAAATAATTCTGCAGTGGCTGGGAAAGGATTAGGGGTGAAATCCACCCCTGTGCAGAGGGCCAGCACCAGACTGTATACATCATTTAATTCCTACCTTACTTTAGCAGTAGGATGCAGGATCTTTTAGTTGAAGGCAGCAATTAAGATGCACAGTGACTGTAATGAGCTGTAAGCCACTGGACCAGTGTCCACATAAAAAAAAATTATTACCCATATCTGACCCCTGGCAGGCAGCCTCAGAAGAGAGACCCAGGCTGACCGCAGAGCCTGAACTACCCTCTCCAGAACAGAGGTGATATTGGCAGGGAGTTAGGAGACTCTCATGCTGCTGCTGCTTTACTCAGTCTGACTTCCACCTTTAGAAGTGGTCCAACAACTGTCCAATTTTCTGCCAATCTGACCCTCCCATTTCACACTGGTTAAGCACTCTGATGTTGTGTGCCTGCTATAGGCCTAAGTGGGAATTATACGGTGTATAGGTCTGTGCTGGCCCCGTGCACAGCAGTGCAAGTCAGCCCTTGTCTTTCCCCCCATCACTGCAGAACTATTTCTAGTGCTTTATCCAGTTTAACTATAACATGTTACAAGTGCTTCCACTACTTCCCATTGGAGATTATTCTAGCCCAGTAACTCTCACCAGCAGGATATTTTCCTTGATAGCAAACCTAAATTTTCCCTCTCTTAATTGTATCCCATTACTTCTATCTAAGGGCTCATCTACACTGGGAAAAATTAATCTGAATTAACTAAAACGCTGTACATTTAAAGTGGATTAGTTAAACCAATTAAATCCGTGTGGAAACACACACATTCAGAATTAAAGCGGCTTTAATTTCAAAGTGAATTAAACTAAACCAAACTAAGGTTGCTTTAATTCTGAATGAGAGCATACATACAGGGTTTTAATATGATTTAACTAATCTACTTGAGAAGCTAATTCAAATTAAGGCCTGGTCTACCCTCAAGAGTTATATTGGCATAGCTACATGGTCAGGGGTGTGAAAAAACCACACACCCCTTGGCGATGTAACCACCAGGTGTAGACACAGCTATGACAATGAAATAAGGCTTTCATTGACACAGCTGACATTGAGTACATCTACACCATGGAGACTATCAACTATAGCTATGCTGGCATAACCCCAAAGTGCAAAGACAGCCCATACTGATGGATGGTATAGGAACACCGCCTCCCTGACTGACAGTAGCTACATCGACAAAAGCATATATATATATGTGTGTGTGTGTGTATATAAAGTCTGCTGCAGTTTCCACGGTATGCATCCGATGAAGTGAGTTATAGCTCACGAAAGCTCATGCTCAAATAAATTGGTTAGTCTCTAAGGTGCCACAAGTACTCCTTTTCTTTTTACATCGACAAAAGCATTCTTCCATCAAAGAACCCCCAGTGTAGATGCAGCTAAATTGGCATAGCTACCTTGGTCAGGAATCTGAATTTTTCATATGCCTTACAGCTGTAGCTATGGTGACCTAAAAGTTCAAGTTTTTTGTTCAGGGAGATTGTGTACCTACACCAACAGAAAAACCCCTTCTGTCAGTGTAGGCTGCGTCTACACTATGGGGCTATGCCAGTATAGTCTCTGTAGTGCAGACATATCCTGACTTTCCCAAGTGTCCCCATAGAGACAAGCCATAAGTAATTCCTCTCCATCCTTGGTGTTCCCAGTCTTTCACTTACATGTCAACTGTTCGGTCATGTTATGATCTTTTTTGTGAATTGAAAATAGTGTGTATAAATAAAATGTCAATATTTTTGAAAGCAACTAGAGATTTTGGTTGCCTAATCGGAAGTACTATAATGACCCTGATTGTCAGGAAGAATAGAGCATGGCTCTCTGAAAAGTCAAGTCCCTCTAAGAGGTCTCAAGTTGGAAACCCAGAATCACCAGTCACTTAAAAACATCTTAGTAAACATACACAGGCACAGATATGTCATATATGTAATATTACTTACATTTACAGAACATGTGTTCTCACACACACACACAAAAGAGATAAAAGACCTTCTGCTAAAATGATAAAAAACAGGAACACACGGGATACATTTCTAAAGCTTCTCCTACCCTGCTTTTTTGGTAACAAACAAAAAACTTAACTTCAAAGAAATAACATTTGCCTTATGAAATGAGCTTGCTGACTGGTCAGGGACCATCTGCTTGTAATTTAATGTTACTTTAGACATTGTTTAAAAAAAAAAAAACACCAAGATAACTTTAGGTGCCCACAAGCTTGAAAATGACCATGTATGCAGGAAAGCTGGTTACAGAGGACAACAAAAATGTGAACAACCATGCCAAGAAATCTAAGTAACATAACGTGGCCCTCCCCAGAGATAGCACAGCTGCTTGGACTGAAGCCAGTCCTGATTATTTGTAATGTGGTTGGAGCCCACTGAATTACTCAGAAAGAGCTGGAACAGCCACCAAAACGAGAATATTCCATGGCTGGAGTTCAGTCACACGACAGCAATACCAACAGCCACAAAAATCACACCAAACTTTCCTTTTGTCTCTCCCAGTATTGATTAAACAGTGAGAAAATCTGCACCTAAATAAACACCTAAGGCCAAATCTTGCTCACCTTACACAAGCAGTTCTATTCAAGCTGCTGAGACTTTGCGTGAGGAAGTTGGCCCCTACAGCAGTAAACCCCTGATAAAGTTATACATTCCATTCCATCACAGTCTCATGAAGTCAGTAATGCCTCTCCTTCTGCAGGGACAATGGATATCAACGCAATCTAGCTAGCTGCAGGTTCATCACCCCCTTCCACACACACTGAGAAAAATGGATCATGGTTGGAAACATCTTCCAAAAGGCTTGAACTGATGGGGTGAAACACCTTTTATAGGTCAGTAGCATGCGCCAGGTTGGTCCATCAAAGGTAATATCTATCTAGAAAATAATGGCTCCTGCAGACTTAATTATGACACTGATACTGTGCCTCCATAACAACTAAAAATAGGTTCAAAATCCCTCTGAGTGCTGGGGAAGTTTCAGTCTGGAAGCAGACTTTGCAACATGGCGGGTCCCTCCCTAACAACAACCTCCTCCATCGGCATGTGTGTCTTGTGAACCTTTCAGGAATTTGAAAAGAGTGAGCAACATCATTGTGGAAAGATGCAATCAGTCTGTTGGAGATGTAGATCCCCGTGGAGACAAGTTACATACCCTTTTTCCAGCTGAACCGGGTGTTTCCCAATATCCAATATTCATGGTCATCAAAATGGATTTCTCCATTTTTGGGGAAGAAAGCATGGGCAAGCTCCCCTGTTGTCCCATCGAAACAATGATGGATGAGTGACTCCAGGCAATCAGTGTGGTTTATGGAATAGAAGCCTGTGAAAGAGAATACATAGAGTGAGACTAGTCAGTATACTTCATACATGCATGACTGAATGAACAAGAGTCTCAGGGACATATTCTAACATGTAAGTTTTCCATCCTACAGATGCACAGAAGGAAAACCGAACTTAAAGAGATAGTTAGAAATGAGGGTTGAATAATACAAACCAGGTCCAACTCTGAACTGTTTGGGCTGACATTGGATTCAGGGTGGTCTCCAAAGGACACAAGTTAAGCTTCCCTTCAGAGAGGAGCTCCTGTTTCAACACCAAGTGGAAACTCCTTCTTCTTTAATCAGGGTACTGAAGAGGAGGCAGTGACCCAATCCAACAAATGCTAAGCCTAAGCACTGTATGGACACGAGCAACCACAGCCCAGCATGCCCACCTCCCGTCACGTGAAACCACTTCCCCAATCTCTACCCATTCTGGTCAACAACTGCTTTCTGCACTCCTACAAGAAGCTATGTGAACTTTTACTCTAAGTCATCTAATGCAGCTTGGATCATTTTGGTCTTTCTTTGCAACTGTAAATGCCTTTCACTGTGTGTCTCTTGTACAGGGCTACTACATGCACCAGTCTGGCATACAAGCCTGTAGCCTCTGCTTAATCCAGGTTTCCCACAGGGGAATTAGTTTAGTGATTGAGGCAGTGTCAGAATCTCTCCATGTTTTCCCAGGAGTGAGCCCTCCCATGTCTGCAATGGGCTCTCTAGCTACTGCCTAGAGGTCTGGGAGGAGACTATCAATTCTGCTACTACTGACAGCTGGTGGAGACTCTGCTATAAGGGTGGCCTAGCGTTTAGGGCACTGGACTGATACTCAGGAAATCTGGGTTCTACTCCCGGCTTTGTCACTGGCCTGCTGGGTGGATCAACAACTCGCATCGCTGCACCTCAGTTTCCCCATCTGTAAACTGGGGAAACTTTGTGAAGAGCTTTGAGATCTAGAGATGAAATACGCACTAGAAGCCAACTTCTTCTGGTGCTAGTGGGTGCTCGTGTCCCCCCCCCCGCCCCTGCCCCATTGGACCCCCTCCCCAGCCCCGCCTCCCTCCCTGAGCACGCTGCATTCCCCTTACTCCCCCTCCCTCCCAGCACTTGCCACATGAAACGGGGGAGCTCTCGGGAGGAGGCAGAGGTGAGCGGGGGTGAGGGGGGGGCTGGCTGCCGGTGGGTGCAGAGCACCAACCAATTTTTCCCCTTGGGTGCTCCAGCCCCGCAGCACCCATGGAGTCAGTGCCTATGCCTAGAAGGGCGAGGTATGATCATCTAAAACCATACAAAGATCCTTGGGCTGGGACCAAGTCTTTACAATAGTGCCCAGGCCATAATTTGAACTCCTTTGCTGAGCTGCTGCTACTTATAAAGGGTTATTTAGTTATAACCACTTGCCTGCAACGAATGTCCATCCAAAGCTCTTTACAAATGCCTCTGGGAGGCAGATAAGTGTTGTCCCCATTTTAAATCTGGATTTAACACAGACATGGAGAGGTTAAGTGACTTGCTCCAGGCCACTGCGCAGAACCTGGCTCTCAGGCCTGCGCTCTAGTTACATTTCATGCAGTTCTTAATAGGTGCCTGCTGGAATAGGGCTCTGTGGAGCTCCTACGTGGCAGCATTTCGCTCTGTTAGGCAAGGCCCCTGGGGAGGTGGATCATCTGCTTTCAGGTGGTGTCACACAATAGCAGAGCGAGAAACATGTTGCAAAACAATGGAAACTTTGCTGGAAATCCTGAAGACACCGCAGTCTGCACAGGAAGGAATTATCATGTCTCCCATAGGCCATAAATCCTTAAAGGAATTTACATCTAGAATGTGAAACTAACCAGATGATCCAGGATTAAAAACTGCATTGTGATTGCCCAGGGCTGAGAGCTTCAGAAAGGCACCCAGTGAACCTGCATAGCAGCTGAGAAGGGAAATGGCTCAGTAAGATCTGTGGAGATAAACAAGGAAACGGGAGCTGAAGCAACCTACCAACATGCAGCCGAATCCTTGAGGTTGAAGCTGAGGCCTGGTTTTGCAAGGGATTGCACAGTGGATGGTGAGAAAGGAACCAGAGTTAAGGAATAACTAATCGGATTTAAAGAATGGTCTGGAGTACCTGGAGAGCTAGCAGGGTGGGGAGAGAGGATAATAATAGCTAGCTTTTGTACAGTACTTTTCATCTGGCAATCTCAAGGCACTTTACAAAGGAGGTATCATTATCCCCATTTCACAGATGGCAAACCTGAGGCACAGAGAAATGAAGTGACTTGCCCCAGGACACCAGCAGGCCAATGGGAGAGCTTGGAATAGAGCCCAGGTCACCTGAGTCCCAGTCCAGTGTTCTGTGCACTAGGCACCACTGCTAGCCCAGAGAAGGAGAAGCTGTATTGAACTTCCTCTTCAGTTAGTGTGTTTGTACCTGTAAGAGCAGCTCAGATACCTTGGGGACAAGTGTGATATAAATATACAGGTAGACCTTGCTCTGCATGAGGAAGAGGAAGCAGGCTGAACAGCAGGGAGAATACTGCTGAGGTGTTCTTCCTCCTGGGGCATGTGGAGTGCTATTAGGATTTCTCTATAAATAAAATACCAGGAGGCATCATGGCTACCAGTCAGCATACCGGTCTAAGATCCAGGAGAACTGTGCTCTATTCTGGGGTCTGCCACAGACTCACTGTGACTCTGGGTGAGTCACTTCACTTCTCTGCACTTCAGTTTTCGCATCTCTGAAATGGGGATAATCCTGCTTCACAGGGTGTTGGGAGTTTTCACTCTCTGAGCTCCCTGGATAGCAGGCGCTAGGGAAGTGATAAATACTATAGCCCCTTCTCTTGCCGAATACACTGAGTTAGATTCCTCCCAGAGGGAAGGCAGGTGCACCGAAGGTCTGGGGCTGCATCTCCAATACCAGCCAGAGGATGTGGTCCAGCCTGTGCTGTGGGGAGGAGCATTCCAGTTGCAGGACTCCTGGGTCTCACCCCAAAAGTTCTGCAACCAAATGCTCCAAGGAACACAGACCCCCTTTTGGAGACAGAACATCCCCTAGTGCCAGAGCCCACTCTCTTTAGCGCAGGACCCCAGGGTCCTTGCAGACCTACCTATTTCCAGGTCACTAGACAAGTTGGGTGGCACCTCCTTGAAGTTGAATGGTGAAACGTTGCTCCACATTCGGAAAGCAGCTGCCACCCCCTTCCGTGTGTCACTTTCATTAATGAGGTTTCTCGGGAAGGACACGATTCTGCAGGGAGACAAAGGGTATGTCTACACTACGGAATAAGGTCGAATTTATAGAAGTCGGTTTTTTAGAAATCGGTTTTATATATTCAAGTGTGTGTGTCCCCACAGAAAATGCTCTAAGTGCATTAAGTGCATTAACTCGGTGGAGCGCTTCCACAGTACCGAGGCCAGAGTCGACTTCTGGAGCGTTGCACTGTGGGTAGCTATCCCACAGTTCCCGCAGTCTCCGCTGCCCATTGGAATTCTGGGTTGAGATCCCAATGCGTGACGGGGCTAAAACATTGTCGCGGGTGGTTCTGGGTACATATCGTCAGGCCCCCGTTCCCTCCCTCCCTCCGTGAAAGCAAGGGCAGACAATCATTTCGCGCCTTTTTTCCTGAGTTACCTGTGCAGACGCCATACCACTGCAAGCATGGAGCCCGCTCAGGTAACCGTCACCCTATGTCTCCTGGGTGCTGGCAGACGCAGTACGGCATTGCTACACAGTAGCAGCAACCCCTTGCCTTGTGGCAGCAGACAGTACAGTACGACTGGTAGCCGTCATCGTCATGTCCGAGGTGCTCCTGGCCACGTCGGCTGGGAGCGCCTGGGCAGACATGGGCGCAGGGACTAAATTTGGAGTGACTTGACCAGGTCATTCTCTTTAGTCCTGCAGTCAGTCCTATTGAACCGTCTTATGGTGAGCGGGCAGGCGATACGGACTGCTAGCAGTCGTACTGTACCATCTTCTGCCAGGCAGGCAAGAGATGAGGATGGCTAGCAGTCGTACTGTACCATCTTCTGCCGAGCAGCCATGAGATGTGGATGGCATGCAGTCCTTCTGCACCGTCTGCTGCCAGCCAAAGATGTAAAAGATAGATGGAGTGGGTCAAAACAAGAAATAGACCAGATTTGTTTTGTACTCATTTGCCTCCTCCCCTGTCTAGGGGACTCATTCCTCTAGGTCACACTGCAGTCACTCACAGAGAAGGTGCAGCGAGGTAAATCTAGCCATGTATCAATCAGAGGCCAGGCTAACCTCCTTGTTCCAATAAGAACGATAACTTAGGTGCACCATTTCTTATTGGAACCCTCCGTGAAGTCCTGCCTGAAATACTCCTTGATGTACAGGCACCCCCTTTGTTGATTTTAGCTCCCTGAAGCCAACCCTGTAAGCCGTGTCGTCAGTCGCCCCTCCCTCCGTCAGGGCAACGGCAGACAATCGTTCCGCACCTTTTTTCTGTGCGGACGCCATACCAAGGCAAGCATGGAGGCCGCTCAGCTCACTTTGGCAATTAGGAGCACATTAAACACCACACGCATTATCCAGCAATATATGCAGCACCAGAACCTGGCAAAGCGATACCGGGCGAGGAGGCGACGTCAGCGCGGTCACGTGAGTGATCAGGACATGGACATAGATTTCTCTGAAAGCATGGGCCCTGCCAATGCATGCATCATGGTGCTAATGGGGCAGGTTCATGCTGTGGAATGCCGATTCTGGGCTCGGGAAACAAGCACAGACTGGTGGGACCGCATAGTGTTGCAGGTCTGGGACGATTCCCAGTGGCTGCGAAACTTTCGCATGCGTAAGGGCACTTTCATGGAACTTTGTGACTTGCTTTCCCCTGCCCTGAGGCGCATGAATACCAAGATGAGAGCAGCCCTCACAGTTGAGAAGCGAGTGGCGATAGCCCTGTGGAAGCTTGCAACGCCAGACAGCTACCGGTCAGTTGGGAATCAATTTGGAGTGGGCAAATCTACTGTGGGGGCTGCTGTGATGCAAGTAGCCCACGCAATCAAAGATCTGCTGATATCAAGGGTAGTGACCCTGGGAAATGTGCAGGTCATAGTGGATGGCTTTGCTGCAATGGGATTCCCTAACTGTGGTGGGGTTATAGACGGAACCCATATCCCTATCTTGGCACCGGAGCACCAAGCCGCCGAGTACATAAACCGCAAGGGGTACTTTTCGATAGTGCTGCAAGCTCTGGTGGATCACAAGGGACGTTTCACCAACATCAACGTGGGATGGCCGGGAAAGGTGCATGATGCTCGCATCTTCAGGAACTCTGGTCTGTTTCAAAAGCTGCAGGAAGGGACTTTATTCCCAGACCAGAAAATAACTGTTGGGGATGTTGAAATGCCTATATGTATCCTTGGGGACCCAGCCTACCCCTTAATGCCATGGCTCATGAAGCCGTACACAGGCAGCCTGGACAGTAGCCAGGAGCTGTTCAACTACAGGCTGAGCAAGTGCAGAATGGTGGTAGAATGTGCATTTGGACGTTTAAAGGCGCGCTGGCGCAGTTTACTGACTCGCTTAGACCTCAGCGAAACCAATATTCCCACTGTTATTACTGCTTGCTGTGTGCTCCACAATATCTGTGAGAGTAAGGGGGAGACGTTTATGGCGGGGTGGGAGGTTGAGGCAAATCGCCTGGCCGCTGGTTACGCACAGCCAGACACCAGGGCGGTTAGAAGAGCACAGGAGGGCGCGGTACGCATCAGAGAAGCTTTGAAAACCAGTTTCATGACTGGGCAGGCTACGGTGTGAAAGTTCTGTTTGTTTCTCCTTGATGAAACCCCCCGCCCCTTGGTTCACTCTACTTCCCTGTAAGCTAACCACCCGCCCCTCCTCCCTTCAATCACCGCTTGCAGAGGCAATAAAGTCATTGTTGCTTCACATTCATGCATTCTTTATTCATTCATCACACAAATAGGGGGATGACTACCAAGGTAGCCCAGGAGTGGTGGTGGAGGAGGGAAGGAAAATGCCACACAGCACTTTAAGCACAGCACTTTAAAAGTTTACAACTTTAAAATTTATTGAATGACAGCCTTCTTTTTTTTAGGCAATCCTCTGTGGTGGAGTGGCTGGTTGGCCGGAGGCCCCCTCACCGCGTTCTTGGGCGTCTGGGTGTGGAGGCTATGGAACTTGGGGAGGAGGGCGGTTGGTTACAGAGGGGCTGCAGTGGCAGTCTGTGCTCCAGCTGCCTTTGCTGCAGCTCAACCATACACTGGAGCATACTGGTTTGGTCCTGCAGCAGCCTCAGCATTGAATCCTGCCTCCTCTCATCACGCTGCCGCCACATTTGAGCTTCAGCCCTGTCTTCAGCCCGCCACTTACTCTCTTCAGCCCGCCACTTACTCTCTTCAGCCCGCCACCTCTCCTCCCGGTCATTTTGTGCTTTCCTGCACTCTGACATTATTTGCCTCCACGCATTCGTCTGTGCTCTGTCAGTGTGGGAGGACAGCATGAGCTCGGAGAACATTTCATCGCGAGTGCGTTTTTTTTTCTTTCTAAGCTTCACTAGCCTCTGGGAAGGAGAAGATCCTGTGATCATTGAAACACATGCAGCTGGTGGAGAAAAAAAAGGGACAGCGGTATTTAAAAAGACACATTTTATAAAACAGTGGCTACACTCTTTCAGGGTAAACCTTGCTGTTAACATTACATACATAGCACATGTGCTTTCGTTACAAGGTCGCATTTTGCCTCCTCCCACCGCGTGACTACCCCCTCAACCTTCCCCCCTCCCTGTGGCTAACAGCGGGGAACATTTCTGTTTAGCCACAGGCAAACAGCCCAGCAGGAATGGGCTCCTCTGAGTGTCCCCTGAAGAAAAGCACTCTATTTCAACCAGGTGACCATGAATTATATCTCTCTCTCCTGAGGATAACACAGAGAGATAAAGAACAGATGTTGTTTGAATGCCAGCAAACATACACTGCAATGCTTTGTTCTACAATGATTCCCGAGTACGTGTTACTGGCCTGGAGTGGTAAAGTGTCCTACCATGAAGGACGCAATAAGGCTGCCCTCCCCAGAAACCTTTTGCAAAGGCTTTAGGACTACATCTAGGAGAACCGCAAATGCCAGGGCAAAGTAATCCTTTCACATGCTTGCTTTTAAACCATGTATAGTATTTTAAAAGGTACACTCACCAGAGGTCCCTTCTCCGCCTGCTGGGTCCAGGAGGCAGCCTTGGGTGGGTTCGGGGGGTACTGGCTCCAGGTCTAGGGTGAGAAACAGTTCCTGGCTGTCGGGAAAACCGGTTTCTCCGCTTGCTTGCTGTGAGCTATCTACAACCTCCTCCTCCTCCTCCTCATCTTCTTCGTCCCCAAAACCTGCTTCCGTATTGCCTCCATCTCCATTGAAGGAGTCAAACAACACGGCTGGGGTAGTGGTGGCTGAACCCCCTAAAATGGCATGCAGCTCATCATAGAAGCGGCATGTTTGGGGCTCTGACCCAGAGCGGCTGTTCGCCTCTCTGGTTTTCTGGTAGGCTTGCCTCAGCTCCTTCAGTTTCACGCGGCACTGCTTCGGGTCCCTGTTATGGCCTCTGTCCTTCATGCCCTGGGAGATTTTGACAAAGGTTTTGGCATTTCGAAAACTGGAACGGAGTTCTGATAGCACGGATTCCTCTCCCCAAACAGCGATCAGATCCCGTACCTCCCGTTCGGTCCATGCTGGAGCTCTTTTGCGATTCTGGGACTCCATCATGGTCACCTGTGCTGATGAGCTCTGCCTGGTCACCTGCAGCTTTCCACGCTGGCCAAACAGGAAATGAGATTCAAAAGTTCGCGGTTCTTTTCCTGTCTACCTGGCCAGTGCATCTGAGTTGAGAGTGCTGTCCAGAGCGGTCATAATGGAGCACTCTGGGATAGCTCCCGGAGGCCAATACCATCGAATTGTGTCCACAGTACCCCAAATTCGAGCCGGCAACGTCGATTTAAGCGCTAATCCACTTGTCAGGGGTGGAGTAAGGAAATCGATTTTAAGAGCCCTTTAAGTCGAAATAAAGGGCTTCATTGTGTGGACGGGTGCAGGTTTACATCGATTTAACGCTGCTAAATTCGACCTAAAGTCCTAGTGTAGACCAGGGCACAGACTGGCTTTAGACAGATCCCAGACTATCCTCCTGCATCAACTGAAGGTTCCTGTACTGCTCACCTGGAAAGGTTCCCTTCTTAAAGAGTTTCACTGAACTAGACTATTGATCTAGTCCAAAGCCCATTGCAATCAGTGAAAACCTTTCCATTGACTTTATGGGTTCAGAGCAGGCCCTATTTGCAGAATAGCAGATAGTTTAATTAGGGTGATTAACTCTTTAATCTGTGTAATGAGGAGATACCACAATGCTCAGTGGGCAACATGAAGCCAACAAGTTAATGGCTCTTAATTTTTGCCCATGCTACAGCAGGCTCTGGCTTTTCACTGCTCTGCTCAGGGGCTGAAGGGAGCCGGGGCATTTGTGCTGTTCTGCAGCATCCCTGGTTATTTGTCTGGGCTGGTGGCCGGCACTGATCTCTGCTGTCCATTTGGAAGGACTGGCCAGCAGCTCACCACCACTGACTGGACAAGGTGACAATGACAATTGTGCACGTAGGACAGTCTACGACCCCAAGAGCCAGGCTGTGGGGAAAAGGACCCCACAATGGCTGCTGGGGGATTTGACCTAGTGCTGACTGGGATGGTTCAGTGGGTGCTGGGGAGAAGGGGAACATGGGACAAGTTGCAGTGAGACAGCTATGTGGCTGAAGGAGCGAGATGGAACTGCTACCCAGGGAAACCAGGGAGTGGCACTACTAGACTGAGCAGGGAGTGCCAGTCTGTGCCTGCTGCTCACACTGAAATGTCCACTCGACCCCTTTCTCAGTGCCTCAGGAACTCCCATTCCGTAGCTCCTGTGTAGGTGAAAGGGGCTGGTTGAGAGCCACAGGCAGCTAGAGCCCCACTCCTCTCCGCTGCCTACATCAAATTAATGCAAATATAACTGGATCCTCCTTCCTTTCTTGTTTATTGGTTTAGAGACTTTCCCATCCATTTCAGTCCTGGTCTGGGAAGCCTCCCAGCTGGAGCAAGACTCTCCCTGCCCCAAAACAACCCTCCTCCTAATGCAGAGTGGAGGCTATGACAGGCATTCCCTGCTGCCAGAGGCCACTTTCAGGTCTCTGAGACTAATCTGGTTAGACCTGCATCTGCTAAGCAGCTGCTGCCTTGGCAAATCACTTCAGAGAGGGCTTGCTGTACTTTAAAGGACTGGCCAGATGGGGGGGGGGGGTGTATCATAAAGGGGTGGTTGTCACCACATATTACACTGAATAAACTTTTAACTGACTTAGGAGTTCCCAGAAGGGTGCCCTCCCCTCTCAGCCAGGATGTTAACAAGGGACCTTTCTTCAGCAACACCTGAGGACTCCTGCCAAGGCTGAGGTACAAACCACATCCAGACCCCTGGCCTGCTGCCTGAGGTTCACCAGAATGGCATGGTCACACCTACCAGGCCTCAGCTGGCTCTGGAGGGATTCCCCAGGCACACTCGCTGCACTGTGCTTGCTGTGTCTACACTCCTGCTAACGTACGTGAGAAACATTCAACAGACCCCCACCATCCAGCACGTCTGCTTACTGCTCCTCAGCATCCCAAAGAGGCAAAGCATCCGTCAGGACATCAATGCCATTGTCCATCATGGTTGGCCTGCCTCACTGATGGGCACACATTGGCAGGCCAGAAGCTATTCATCCATTGGTGATTTCAGGGGGTGTTTTGCCTAAGGGCTGAACACTTCGCAATTTCAGTTATTGCAGTGAGGCCAGAAAGTAACAAAAAAGGGCTAGATCCTCAGGTGGTGTCATTCAGCACAACTTTGGAGCTATGTCAGCTCACACCAGCAGAGGAGCTGGCCTATAGATTTAGGATTGTGTCATTCCAGAGAGCATTGTTTTGACTCAAGTTTGGGGTGTGCTCTCCTGTTGGAGTCTATATGACACATATTGTGCAGCGCACACAAGGCCATTTTCTCTGTTGCAACCTGGTGCATCACCACCAAGTTCAAGGACTTGCACCAGCTTATACTAGTGGTGAATTAGGTTCCTTATTATCTTTTGGTTCCACAGATACTTGGTCTTTGAGCTATTGGCAGAAGCAGCCTGCTTATTTCACAAAGGAAAATGCCATCATCATTGTACATTCATATCGCTCCACCCCCTCCAGAACAGATCATCACTCCCTTTACAGCTACAACGTGTCACCAATGTACAGCCACTTCTGAAGCAGCCAGCTGGCACACAATATTCTGGACAGTCATGTTTGTGGGTAGGAAATTTGGCCATTGATATTGAGTTGAACCCTCCATTCTTATGAGAAGTGCCAGGTAATTCTACCATCCTATGAAACCTTGGTTTTTAGGATCTAATCTGAAAGATAACGTTCAACTTCTGCCACAAGCTCAGAGTTTTCGTGCTGGACTAACTCTGCTCCCATTGAAGACACGGAGAATTTTACAGACAACTTCACGGAGAGCAGTTCAGCCAGTGCTGAGCCCACCCAGAGTGAACTAGGACCAAATATATTTACCTTGGAGGGGTGAATGGACCACACGATGGAGTCAAAGGGAATTGTAGGGGTGTCAACCCGGAATTCATCCCAGATCAGCACCAAATCCAGTAGAAACCTGTAGGTTTCTGCAGATGTTAGCAAGCATCATACCATGAATGGCATACCATGCATTGGTTCCTTATATAATGAGTCTTGCTCGGAGCATGATCTGTGCAACCCATGGGAGAGACCTAGCAGTATTTGTATGAAGAGAGCCTACTCTAATGTGTGCCTGGATAACTAATTGTTCCCAGCTGTCCACTGCTCACAAGCAGTTCAATTAGCACAAGGATCCACAGCTGGAAAACGTACGTGTCAAATGCAGGAAGGCACAAAGCAAACATTGCAGACCCGGCACAGGCAGAGTTAACACATGTTCATACCTGTACGTCAGGTTGAAGTGGTCCCATTTCAGCTGCCCTGGTGTAAGTGTGTATCGTTTTCTCCGTGTACGGGGTAGGTGTGGGAGAGCTGGGGCACTCACCCCCCGAAAGCCAGGCGATATGGCATCTTCCTTAAAAGACAAACAGGAGGTTAAAGGAGTTGGAGCCGCTCAAGCAGCGTGTCTAAACCTGCCCATTTAAGGGCACTTGCATATGTTGGTACCTACTTGTGGGCCCCTGGGTGTCCCTCCCAAAACAGTAATGCTTCTGGTAGGACTGCAAAGCATTGACTGTCTGATGCTGCAATCTTCCTAAACTGTACCCCCAGTGAGGAGATCTGGTGAAAACCAACCTCCTCATCTTCCCCCCACCAACTCCCTCCTAGTGCCTGGGGCTGGGAATGTGTTTTAGGGAGTCCATTCATGTGTGGGAGTCTGCACTGTGTTAGCACAGAAAATACACAGCAAAATTTATCTTGACAGACTACTCAGAATGCTCTAAAGCAGAGGTGGGCAAACTATGGCTCACGGGCTGGCCGTCCTGCTCGGCCCCTGAGCTCCCAGCTGGGGAGGCTAGCCCCCGGCCCCTCCCCCCCACCCCTGCTCTAAAGGTTACTATGCAAGAAACCAGAGGGTGCAAAGCACCAGGAATGGCCAAAAGAGAGGAGTCCTCTCCTGGCAGGAGATGAACTAGATGGGAGCTCATCAGCCATTTCTGTCTCTGACATCTATTGGCTGGATTCTCTGGTCTGCTAATGCCAGTATAGAGTAGAAAGTCAGTGGAGAATTTCCTCTTAACCAGGAAACCCCACTGGGAAAGGTGGCTCCCACAACTATACCCCCAGACCCTGGAGTAAGGGGGTGTGTTGGGGGGAGTTCTTAGTGACAGAGGACAGGCAGGAAGGAAAGGGAGCAGAGTTTCACTGCTCCGGAGTCTAAGGGACCTTAGGTCAGTGGTGTAAGTTACTAGACCTGCCTCTGTACAGCCCTAACTTGTGCTGGGTGGCCCAGAATGAGTCAAAGCCTGAGAGTCTGTGGCCACAGGGATCGCAGCAGTTCCTGGAAAGTTCTCACTTCATTTTATTTTGCCAACTTTCTCTAGCATCATCCATGTGCGAGATGAAACACTGGGTGAATGAGTCAAACGGGCTCACATTTGTGCCGGGGTAGCTCTTTATGAAGTTGGATTGTGGACCTGAAACGCCCTGAAAGTAAACTGGAAGCATTGGAGACACTTTAAAAACAATAAAAGCAATCCCTTTAGTTTGCTGCTGTCCCCAACTTTATTGGATTAGGCAAGAGGCCTGCCTGGCTCTTTTGAGTTCTCCTGGCAGACAGGGAAAGGACGAGGTGTGACACTGATCCCTGAAGGCTACCTTCTACTAACTCTGCCTCCTATGCTCAGGATTAATGTACTGTGTATTTACTGTATGTCTTTGCTCCAAGGATGTCAAAACAATAATAATACAATATATTAGCAATACGACTAATAATTCTCAAACGTGGCTTAATTAAGCCTCACAACACCCCCGTGTAGAAGGCAAGAATTATCTTCACTTTACACATGAAGGAGCCGAGGCCCAGAGAAGTGAAACAACAGACCCAAGGTCACACAACAAGTTAGGGGCAGCGTCAAGATAGAACCCAAACATGCTGTCTACCAGCCCACGCTCTAGTTACCAGACAGCACGGCCTGCCCCTTAGCTAACATTGCCTGTCAAAAGGCCAAGAGACTCCACTGTAGCTGGGAACCTGAGTCTCTTCTGTGTCCACCAGCCAGGTCCACCAACTATAGGTTACCTGGCTTCTCCCCCTTGTCCCAACCTTAGGTTGAATCCTAACCTGGAAGCACCACTTGTCTTCACCGGGGAGACAGGCCTCACGCCAGCTCAGCTGTGGGTCTGACCCAGTTTTGTGACATGGATTCCTGTTCTCTGGGGAGTAACTGAAAACAACTGAATTCTTTAAATGTAAGGACTTCAAGGTTGCCTTGGTGCCCAGGGATTGGTCAGTGCTGGGCATGGGACACCAGAGCAGGTGGACCGGGGGATAACAACTAATCAGGTACTTTTTGCTCTTCTGCAGCACCTTTGATCCAAGAATTTCAAAGCAGGTCACATATGACAATGAATTAAGCAAGTCCTACGTGCTTGGGTTTTGCCTTAGCTGCTTTTCTTAAGGCAGGAGCAATCCCACTGGCCTTAGTGGTGCCCATTCTCAGTTACGGTAGGGCCCTTTTATGCCGCTCTGGCAATGTAAGGCAGCCATAAAAATGGGTAGAAACAGCTCCCTGGGAATACCCTGAACAGGGGGCCACCTCAGTTGGTGCAGAGCTGGTATCTTGACTCCATCCCTGCCCTGCTCCCAGTCCCTGGGTGTCAGAGCAAACCGGATGTGCAGCAAGGGGACATGATGCTATTGTCTATTTCTCAGGGCTCATGGGAAGCACAGCGTACATTAAAGCAACCCTGAAGCTGCTCTGACTGACATCAGGGGCTGGGCACTGACCCAGGATAAAAGGAGTTTAAAAATGTGGTTTAAAGCCACGTTGTCCTCCCCAGCTCTGGCTTCGTAACAGAGTAAGGGAGAATCAGACCCAGCGGAGGTAACTTAAGCCTGTTGGGAATGTTCTGACCTGGGCTGCCATTCAGCCCATTGTACAGATGGGGCCCACCTGAGTTAAGCCTTCAAATACCCAGAGGTTTTGAGGGTGTTCAGATCCAGGCATTTGATTCAGGACTATCTTTACTCATTATAATGGAGTCCAAGACACACAAAGATAGCATGAATGTGTACACCTATTTCACACTACCCACCCACCCTCTTACAATTATTGCAGAGTCTGTTTGTCCATATTTGTCTAAACTAATTTACCGCATAGAGTTGCAGAGACTTTAGTTCTTTCCCGTTTATCTCTGTCCGATTCATAGAGTCCCATTTCCATGAGTGAAGCTCTAGTGCAGCTAGATAGCTTAGAACCACCACTGCCAGCCAATGATCCATACGAACAGGAGAGGAAGCAAGAGAGACTTTTCATGATGGGACATAAGCAGCAAAATCAAATTGGCTACTGGGAGCCCCCTCATCTTTGCCTTAGTTCCCCAGGAATCCCAGTTTGCTTCGGAAGACCTTGCTAATGGATGCCCCTAGAATAAGAATAATTTATCACAGCAGCAGCTACTGGGTTCTGTGGGTCCAGCACTACTTTGGGGACCCTCTGATCTCGCAATAGCCCTCTCCGCGGAGTTCCCAGTAGAGAGAGAGCTCTGCTGATTCAGCTGCTACAAGGCTGGGATATGCATGAGCCACATCACACTGGGCTGGGAGAGCTGAGTTCTCAGGCTACTTGCTCTCTCTCCCAAATTGAAGAGTTTTTCCACATGCCAAGTTGTGGGACAGAAACACCAAGAGATTTAGATAATTTACTGGTTGGATATAGCAAAGAAAATGTCTGTCATATCATTAGAAGTCTGGAATCAGCCTCTAACCCTAATCTTCAGGTTCTTCCCTTTCAGATCCTTTTGCAGAAAGGGACTCACTAGATACAAACAGATACTGGAGTTGACAAGCCAGCGATAAAGGAGTTTCTAGCTAACTTAGGTCACCGTTGCATTACACACACTCACACTCTCTCTCTCTCTCTCTCTATATTTTGTATCCCATTCCAAGCATTTGAGAATTTGATCCCATCCCTACCTGAGATTTCTGAGCTGCAGCTCCAACTGGATCTTTCAGAGTAGCCAACAAAGCCACCAGAGGGAAAAGGTATAAAAATCCCACAATGTATTTATATCTACCACACTTCTCTTCGTCAGATGAAAGAGAGCCCTTGATTCTGTCTGCAGAAAGTCCTTCCATTTGATCCATGTCTGCCTTTAATTAAAAAAAGGGGGGAGGGAGAAAATAATCAATTTCTGGACTGTATTTGTGACCCCCCTGCTCGCAGTTGCATCTGGAGCATTTGCGAGGAGCCCTACAGTCAAAATTTGTGTGGAACCACCACCAGCCTTTCAAAAAGCAATTTAAAAAAATGCAGACTTTACATTAAGCCGCTTTCCAATGTGCTAGGGATTATATTAGCCCCTGCCAAGAAGTATCATGTTACTTGAGCTGAAAGTTAGGGCTGGAGGAGGAACCAGCAAAGTGAAGCAAGCTGGGATGAACATGAACTCCTTCATTTGACTGGCTGAGTGTCAGCATGGGACAAATCTGTAGTTGTCAGCTTTATGTAATAAAAAAGGGGAGGGGAAGAAAAAGGAATCCAGAAGCCAGCATCATGCCTTGGGAACGGTTCATGAGGGATACTTCACGGTAGAAGAGCGGTCATTTGCCAGAGGCCATTGACAGGAGCAGAATGAAAAATGCAACTGTGGGCTGAAAGCAGCAAAAGCCTTTTTGCTTTGAAGATTTTGGTCAGTTTACAAAAGCTTAGATGAAGTTAAACATCAACTCACTCCTTACTGGAAATGGGCAAGAGAGTCCTAAAGGACCCCGTTGTGTTTTGGTTTGGGGAGTAAAGTGCTCAGTGATCTGGGACTGAGACACAGAGATCAAGCTTTCCAGAAGCGAGTGGCAGTTTTGGGTGCCTTAACTTATTTTAAGAGTCTCGACTGGGGACTCCAAAGGGCCTGGTTTTAAGAGGGAGGGGGCTTGGCATGCCCTGAACAATCAGGCCCCTTTAATGCACCAAATCAAAATCACTAGTTGCTACTGAAAGTCCTAGCCAGAAATTCTCTCATCTTGTGCTTGTGATTTTTTGGCCTTTCCGGCCAGCACAGCCTTTCAGGATTAGATGTTTGATAACAAGAGGCTATGAACTGACATCACTGTGCTATCTGGTTACAGCCAGGCATGTGAGACGCAGGACTTTGCAATTCTCCTGCTTTCCCAAGAGGGTAAATGCTCACTGCCAGCTAGTGTTTTTAAAAAAAAAAAAAAAATCCAAAGTGACATTTGAAAGCCTCAGAAAGTGGATGATTTCTGCACTTTGATGTGTCTTTACAAACGATCTCACTTGAGACAAAAAAAATCCCTTAGTTCATAACCAAAACTATTACCAGTTGGAAGTTCACATGCTTCCAGTGCGGAATTGGTCACTTCCTGGGAATTTAGTGAAAAATTACGTTTCTGGGATTTTGAAATGTCCTGGAACAAGTTAAAAAAACGGTTGCATGAAATTTTACAAACATTTTCCCCTCACTGTTACGCCATGGCCTCTTTGAGGCAGCAGTACCTTTCACAGAGGGACTAGAACTGGAATAAGGGTGGGTGGGGGGTCAGATTGCATGGCGCATAGGGAGGAAGTAGCCAGTGCAGGGGGCAGCACGGGAGAAGGTAGGGTAGGAAAGGGCGGTTAGAATTGAAGGAGGAGGAAGACGAGCAGGCAGTGAGAGCAGAGACCTAGCCGGGGCAAAGCCTTGAAGGCAAGGAAGAGCTAGAACTGCAATGGGCACTTGGTCTGTGGGCTCGGACTCGTGGTGCTTGTCCAGCGAGGGTATTTCTACAAAGCAGCTGGGAGGGGCAGTTCCCCGCATGGGCTGTGATCCCTGGTCAAGCGAGCAATGCGAGCAGCAGCAGCGTGGCTGCCTGAATACACGCCTCGGGCGGTGGGCTAGCCCAAGCCACCACCCGTGCGGCAACAGCCACTCGCACTACAGCTTGAGCAGAGCTCGTCCAGGTGCGTCTACCCGTGCTGGGAACTACACCCCTCTGGTCCTGTCTGTGCTACAGCCGAGAAGTACTGACGCAAATGAAAAACCCCGCTAGCGAACACGGCCGGAGGGACGTTCACTTCACTAGCGTATGCGTGCCACCACCACGGCCCAGCGTGTCAGCCCTTTGGCAGGCCAGTAAGCACCAACAATGCAAGAAGTGTCTCAACTTGATATTCATCTGTACAGGTACATCTGCGGCTCCCACCACCGGAATACGGAGTACCTCACACTCTATTGTATTTATCCTCCACACCCTGGTGAGCGCGGGCAGCGTCAGCATCCCCATTTTACTGATGGGACACTGAGGCACAAAGAGACTAACCTCTCTGACATGCCAAAGGTCACAGTCTGTGGCACAGCTGGGACTTGAACCCCAGTCTTCTGAGTCCCAGGCTGAGTTCCAAGACCACATAGGTATAAGTCTGCAAAAGCTGAATTCAGAACCCAAACACCCGCCACGTCTGGAAGAGTTGGAGGCTTGCTTTGGCCTGCTCTAGAAAATTATAGGGTTATCTGCAAAATATGGATTGGGTTCAGATTCCAAACAATAGCAAAGTTTGGATGGAGGGTTCTGATTCTGGACCCACTTCTCTTCTGAATGGACTATGAATCAGCTGATAAAGGAGCCTGCTGGAGGCTCCAATTGCTGCACTATATCGGTTATTCAAGAGGCTACTGAAGTTTAATACAGCGAAGGCCTTTGACCTGAGTTGACAGAGACCATCTGACACATTCTGGATATGAGCAGAAATCTTGTTACTTTTTAGCCCCGCCCAGCCTGACCCCAAGCGGGTCACTGGGAAACTGGCTGCTGAGAAGTTACAGGAGCTCAGGGGTGTTTAGTGTCACACACTCCTCTCTGAAGGGGAAAGGGAAGGAAATGGTTCTCCTGGATGGGAAGTGGGCGACCAAGATCTTCAAACCAGAGTGGTTCTTGGAAAGCAGGCGTCTCTCCTTTCTCACTGTGTGGGTAGGCGCTGCGACCATCAGCACAGGAACTCGCCTCCCTGTGTGCAATTCCAACCAGCTGCTGGCTGCAGGATCCTTTAGAACTTTTTAAACCAAATACTTGCTTAGAAAAATCAGCTCAACAACCTGGCCAAGACAAACCTCAGCTACTTTGGCAGTGAGAGCAGGGCCTGAAGGGTCAGCTGAGGAAAGTTCTGATGCTGGGCTATTCACAGGTTTTATTTGGATGCTCACAGAGCTGTAAGGGATACATAATCTTAACCGAGTGAGCACCTAGTATCCCGGAGAAAGTCACCGTCACATCTGGGTCCTTTAGTGGACTTCGGAAAGTGGTAGTTCTTAGTAAAGGTGTATCTGTCTCAATGGCTTCTCACATGCAGCCCTCAATGGACTCGTACCTTCCCCACAGCCTGCCACTCGCGCTTTGCTCTCACATCCTGCTGCCCAGCTCTCAAGATTCCCTTCTGGGGGGCAGTGCAGACTTCAAGACTCCCGAGTTTCATTCCCAGCTCTTCCAAAGGCTCCCTGCAACACCTCGGATAAGACACTTAGCCCCTCTGATTTTGCACCCCCACTTGCAGAGCAGAGATGAAAATACTTTCCTAGCTTCGTCAGGTGCTTTGAAATCCTGAGATGAAAGGGATTAGACAAGTGCAGAGTGCTGCTATGAATCCAACGCTCTATCCAATATAGATTTTAAATTCTCCTGTCTGGATATTTGGCTTGGATTATATGCCAGAATCGACAGTCCAGCTACATTTGGACAGAAAATATTCCTAGCAACACTGGCTTGCGTCTTCGCACACAGTTGTAACTGAAGTGGAACATGTTACAGTTGAGGGAAGCCATATGGGATGATGCGGGGATATAACCAACTTAAATGTATCTGCTAACTACACAATGTTCTCTTCCCAGCAGTTAGCAGTGCTGACTGAGACCTGGATCTGATTTGAGGAGGCTGGTTCTCCCCAACAATCAGGGATGCATTTCCTAAGACACTTTGTGTGGTAAATATCACATGGGGGAAAGCTGCCTCCAAGTGGCTTTGACATACCCTAAGAGACTGACCTGTTCCAAAGAACTAAAATTATCACTTAGAGACCCCAAAATGTCAAGAATTGGGTTACTTTTGCATTTCCTTCGTTAAAGGAGCAAGGTTTCTATATTTGCTCTATTTTTTTCATCCCCAGCTGCTGGTGTATTTGGCTTGGAGCATTGCGTGGTTGTTCCGTGTATAATGCACAGTAAGTGGCTGCATTCCCAAGTCCAGCTTTTAGCTCATAAAATAAACATTTGCATTCACATGGATTATTGTTTGCATTTCCCTCTTCCCTTCATTTAGAATGGTTACATCACCATAGCATGGCCTCCCTCTGGACAGTTTCCACACAGATCTGGCTTTGCTACACGGGTCAAACTTTTAAGGGTAGAATTCACCCCTGTGCAACAGGCTAGCACAAGGGTTATGCACCACTCCTGTTCCAACAACAGAGGGCTTAAGAATGGTCTCATGTACGCACAGCACCTCACACAGTGGGAACCTGATAATGGTGAGGACCTATAAGCACTACTGGCCCTCTGCACAGGTGTGAATTTCACCCTAAACTAAACAGTGCCATGTGACAGATCAGGAGCCTGGAACTCCTTTTATGTCTCTACAGAACAAGTAGACCATGTGCAGTGGCAGGGCACACTTCCTTCATGTCACCCCTCCGCCGGTCCTCAGCTCTGTTCTGGAAGGCCCACCTTAGAAGTCAGAGGATAGGTCCGTCTTCATCCTCCATTCATGTCACCTTCGATGTCTCAGGGCATTGGCAGCGACCTTTCACCTCCAGGACACCAGTTCAAATCCAGCCCAGGGTGGTGGCAGCTGAACGGTATTTTCCATGCGTTGGCTGCTTGATGGCCCATCTGAAAACGGTTGTTGACTCTCAGTGGAGCTCTTGGTTCGCAGAGCAAAAGCTACCCTTACATTTGGGTAGCCCTGGAGGCATTCCTGCCTGGCTACTTCACTGCTGCCTGTGGCAAAGGCAGGAAAAACTTCTGCCTTGTAAACGGACTATGCAGTATAAAGGATTATTAATCTGCTGCAGCATTGGGAAACATCACAGTCCAACCTGAGACAAAGAATATCTGCCACCCCAGAGCTTCATCTCTCTCAATAGCACATTACTCCTTGTCATCAGCTTT